TGCAAAGTAGTAAAGCTTAAGTTAATGACAGAGTCATTAGAAGTTGAATTTAACAATACACAAAGTGACTGATTCATCTGAACAATGCAGATCTAAATCAAAGTCGAGTATCTGAAGAATCACACCGATTTTCTCTGGTCATGTCACAAATAAATGAAGTTTTCTTAAATAAAATCTGATTTAACAATAAACACTAGCAGACCATAAGCTTACCTGTTCAACACACACGAGAAACACACAGTAAAGCTGTATAACACACATCTGAGAGATTGTCTTTTATACTGGAGCTCAATTGGCATTCATTGATATTCACCTGTGCCAATTAAACACTGCTGGCCAATCAGCTGCTGGAATACATTGACTGAATTATCAATGAGAGGGAGTTTTTCACATTTCAACACATTGTAAACTTTAAGTTAAATAAATAGAATGCAGTCATTTAAAAAAAAACTTATAATAAGCTTTGTATCGCTAACAATTCAAATGCTTTATAACAATATTGATTAACTAAAATCTTGAAATTGGTATTATAGAGTATGATAGTGAAAAATCTATTTGTTTTCAAGTCAAGACAAATTTATTTGTATTTTTCATAATGTCTTTATATTATTCAACATTGTGTAGTTTTAGTGAGATTTTAAAATATTAGGAGGCGAATGGTTTAATCCGGTCGCAGCAAGACAGTCATAACTTAATAGTTCATGTGCGTTTATTAGCGTCTGTTGCAAAGTTCGTCAATTATGAAACAAATTCTAATGTTCAATAATGTCAATATTGCAGTTTTATCAATTATAAAACAAATTCAATTCAGTTCATTAGTGTTGCAAAGTTCTTCAATTACGGAAAATATTCAGTTCACTTCAATGTTGCAAACTTCAAATATGAGACTCGAACTGCATAGTAACGCCGCTCTCCAGAACCCAATCGTGTAGCTTCAATTAAAATAACTTTTAAACAAACGTTGCAAAGCTCAATTATTAAACTACTTCTGTTGAGCTGCTTTATTTCTTAAACTTAGTGACACGAATATTTATCTTATTGACACTTTAGAGCCTTTTCACAGCAGAAAAGACAATAATGCCAGTATTCAGTTAAGCATTGACCAATTTAGTTTATTAGTGCTCAATAGGAACCAAATTCAATTTCATCCGTAAGCAACTCTACAGACGTGTCGTTCAGTTCTGGGTCTCGGAGTCAGTGCAGTTAAACCCAAATTACAGATCTCTAAAATCCCAACCTTTAGAAGTCTGATTATTAGATGAGTGCATGGTTATAGCCATCCATAATATATAAAAAAAGCCAGATATTGTAGAAAAATATTTTATTAATACCATTGAGAATTTGAGATTAAAGAGCTAAAAACACTAAAGTAGGCTACATTCAGTCAGAACTCCTGGGACTGGGACTGGGCCTGTTCGCCGGTGTCCGGGTCCTGGGCCGCTTTGGTCTTCTTGGGCAGTAGTTGGGCCTGGATGTTGGGCAGAACTCCTCCCTCAGAGATCGTGACTCCGCCCAGTAGCGTGTTCAGCTCCTCGTCGTTGCGCACCCCTAGCAGGATGTGACGCGGCGCGATGCGGCGCTTCTTGTTGTCGCGGCTCGCGTTGCCCGCGAGCTCCAGCACCTCCGCGCACATGTACTCGAGGACCGCGGCCAGATACACCGCCGCGCCGGAGCCGATGCGCGACGCGTAGTTCCCCTTCCGCAGGAGACGCTCGATGCGGCCCACCGGGAACTGGAGCCCCGCGCGGGAGGAGCGCGTCATGGACGTCTTGGGTTTCGCTGCGCTTGCGAGCTTCTTCTTACCGCGGCCAGACATGATGAGCAGATCTAGAAGACACAAACCATCGGTTAATCGGAGCTCTACGAGTACCGGAAGAGTTACAAGTAGGCAAAAGAGTAAAGCCGATTAGAAGTTCAATGACAAGCAAAGTACCAGTGAAGTGATCGATTCATCTGAACAACGCGGATCTAAATCACTAATCAAGGATCTGAAGAAGTAGATCTTTACAAGTTTTGCAGTGAATTTAACCATTAGTGTTTGCCAAGTAAATTCTGATTAAAAAGGATCACAAATTTACCCATTCAAACAAGGAACAAGCAGTAAAGCCGTTTCAACAATCGCATCGAGAATCGTGAATGCATTTTATTAACTGGACTACTCAAGTTGCAAAAGTAGTGAAAGTTAAGTAATGACAGAGTCAAACCATTTAAATTTTTTTTTTATTTTTTAAAATTTTAATTAAATTTTTTTTTTTTTTAGAAGTTGAATTTAACAATACACAAAGTGACTGATTCATCTGAACAATGCAGATCTAAATCAAAGTCGAGTACCTGAAGAATCACACAGATTTTCTCTGGTCATGTCACAAATAAATGAAGTTTTCTTAAATAAAATCTGATTTAACAATAAACACTAGCAGACCATAAGCTTACCTGTTCAACACACACGAGAAACACACAGTAAAGCTGTATAACACACATCTGAGAGATTGTCTTTTATACTGGAGCTCAATTGGCATTCATTGATAATCACCTGTGCCAATTAAACACTGCTGGCCAATCAGCTGCTGGAATACATTATAGACTGAATTATCAATGAGAGGGAGTTTTTATGAGCGTATTTTTAAAACTTAATAACACCTTTTAAAACTGTAGAATGCAGTCATTTAAAAAAGCCCTTTGCTTATAATAAGCTTGTTTATATAATAATATCTGAAATCCTTATGACAACATTGATTACATGTATTTAGTATCATGCATTTTTTGTACCGGTAATATAACATTTTTGGTAATAATACAAATAATCCTCTTTTCTATTTTATTTTATTTTTTCAAGTCAAGACTAAAGGGAAAATGTATTTGTAGTCTATATCATATATCACATCACATGATGTTCTATAATGTCTTTATGCTTTAACATTGAGTAGTTTTTGTGAGATATGAATAAGAGGTTAAGTTTGATCAGGGTGCAGCAAGAGAATCGCGATGCTTTCATCACAGCTTTCATAATTCATGTTTTTGCTGTAAGCACGTGTTGTGGTCACATGACTGTGTAGATCATGTGACCATTTGTTGTGGAGCTCACTAGTAAAATCAAATGAATCGTGGTCGGTGTTTGTGATCAGTGACTCTTGATCATATGAATCATTTTGTTCGATGCTCAAACAGTGACTCTTTGGTAAAACGAATCATTAGTGTTCAGTGTTCACAGTGACTCTGTGGTCATATGAATCATCAGTGTTCACAGTTGTCATATGAATCATCGGTGTTTACAGTGATTCTTCGGTCATATGACTCATCAGTGTTTACGGTGACTCTGGTCATATAACCCCGGTGTTGTGTCGCAGGGGTCAGTCATGTGTCGCGCGTTGCTCGCGGTGTTTCTGGCGCTCGTAAGCGCTCGTTATAGTGATTCGGTGTCGGCTCCTCCGCATGAGGAGGTGGCTCGGATGGCTCGGTTCGTGGTCCACAAATGCGACTGGGCTTCGATGGCGACGATCTCCACCCATGAGCCCGTGAAGGGACAGCCGTTCTCCAACGTGTTCTCCATCAGCGACGGGCCCGTGGGCAACGGAACCGGGACCCCGTACATGTACCTGACCCACATGGAGATCTCCGTGCAGGACCTGCAGGTACACACACTCATCAGTGGGATCAATACCCAGCAACAGCCCTCATTTCACCGCTTATAGACCGATATAGTCCGGCTGTGACTTCTAGCCTAAATAACCTTGAATTAGTTATAAGTCGTTTTTTGCTAAATAACTCGCGAGATGTGTGATATTCCATCACATAAGCAAAGTCAACAGTGATTACAAGGTGTTTGGTAATACTTCTTCAATTATTTCATTTCTCGGTTATCTTATTGACTAGTCTATCTTGAGCTGGTTTAGACTTCTGTTAAACTTTCTCTGACAGCCCAAATATGAACAACCCTTCAGATTCAGAATATGAGTAGATATGAATAGAATTGGCTCGTTACACTGAGGAGAGTGATGGAAACACAAAGTGAACTGAGTCTGGATTGAGAAACTGCACAAACATCTCACACTGGAGAGGCTGTGTGTGTCAGCGAGAGTTTATCAGCATTCAGCAGAGCTCAGTCACAAACATCAGCACACACACACACACACACACACACTGCTAAACGCCATGTCACGGTCTTATAACACAATCATGATCTCAACTATTGAGAATATCCAGACTGGAACAAGCCTCTATTCAGTTTAAACACTAGTGTTAACTCCAGTTATGTAATCGGATTACTTTTTAAAGTAACTAGTGGAGTAACGCATTACTTTTCAATTTACAACAAAATATCGGAGTTACTTTTTCAAATAAGTTGCATAAGTTACTTTGTTTTGGCCTTTATTGTCTGACAGCTCTCCTGTCCTCATCGTGTGTGTGTGTGTGTGTGTGTGTGTGTCTCAGGTGAACCCGCTGGCGTCTCTCTCCGTGTCTCTGGCTCAGACACACTACTGTAAGAACCACGGCTTCGACCCGCAGAGTCCTCTGTGTGCTCACATCATCCTCTCAGGCTCCGTCATCCAGGTCAGAGGTCACGCTCCAGCTTTGGTCATATTCTCTCTGTTTCCCGACTGAAGCGCAGTGTGTGTGTGTGTGTCCAGGTGCCGGACAGCGAGGTGTGTGTGGCCAAAGCCGCTCTGTTCGACAGACACCCTGAGATGGCGGACTGGCCCACGGACCACAGCTGGTTCTTCGCCCGCTTCAACATCTCTCAGGTGTGGGTGCTCGACTACTTCGGCGGAGTGAAGACCGTCAGTCCCGAGGAATATTACAGAGCCGCTCCGACACACAAACACTCTGGTGAGTGCGACACACACACACACACACACACACACACACACGAGTAGCCAAAAGATAATTGTTATTATTATTGAATGATGATTGTTGTATGTGCAGCTGTTATCAGTCAGAAACACACACTGTGCTGAATCTGATCACATGACCTCAGTGTGTGTGTGTGTGTTTCTACAGGAAGTGACACGTGGAGAACTTGAACTGGATTAGAACGTTTCAGAAGAGACTCGCATTAATGAATGACTCTCAGGATGATGCTGTTTGAATCTTTCAGCGGTGTGTGTGTGTGTGTGCAGTGTAGTGTGTGTGTGTGTGTGTGATCATGTCTGATGATGGTTTCTCTAGATCATTAGTGGACATGATGTGGAAATCTTTCATTTTTTAAAGCATTTTATGAAATGCTCAGGAATAATTTTTGCAGTTTGCACATGTTTTCAGTTTTAATATTTGCAGATTTTTACTAAATGCAAATTCAGTGAAACTTTTTATTGAAATCCTAAAAGGTTTCATGAGATTCACTTCACTTAATTGGGTGTTAGTCAGCAACCCCTGACCTCTGTTGTACGAAATATTAATGTCACAAGATGTTTTTTGCAATTAGGCTCATTTTACTATATTTCCATTTTTGCTATATTTTATAATCAAAATGAGCTGATTTTCCAGATGCTGATGTGTATTTCTACAAGTGTGTGACTGTAATAATCGTGTGTGTGTGTGTGCCGTGAAATAAAGATCTGATCTTTCAGACGTGACTCGTTACTTCATTACATCTACAAAACTAACACAAGATTTGATACTTAATGTTTAAATAAAATCATTAACTGAAATAAAATATCAAAATCTTTAGTTTCAGCCCGCGGCCTCATTTTCATTCAGTTTAACGACATGTTCTACACTAAAACTAAATAATAATACAAATGAAACTATATCTTTATACAAAAAAATAAAGTTTATAGACACTTTTTTTTAGAACGAATAAAAATGCCAAAACAATCCAGTTGTGTTGTGTGTTTTTGACACTTTTATTCGTTTTTCCTGGAGGGTTTTTGTGTTTTTGACATTTTGACAAGTCACTTTTACTTCAGTTTTAAATATATTACACAGAGTTAAACTGAATTAAATGAAGAAACTTAATAATATGATTCTCTAAACACTCGTGTTCTCCAGCGCTCGGGTTCTGCCGCTCGCGTCGAGAGTAAGTAGGCCGTGTGTGTGTGTGTGTGTGTGTGTGTGTGTGTGTTCGGTGGTTGGTGGGACGAGTCTGTAAGAACAGGTGGAGCTCGAGGAGCCTCTTCCTGTCAGAGAGCAGATCTCGATCTTGAGCTTCAGAGAACACACACACACACACTCACACACACACTCGACTCGACGGCGTCTGAAGCCTGCGCCCGTCACACACATCCAGGAGATCCTCAGAGAGCCGAGGCGGATCATGATGGTGTCGAGGCCGGTGTCCGCCGGGATCGTCCTGCTGTCCATGGCACCTGTGTCAGGTACGGTGTGTGTGTGTGTGTGTGTGTGTGGAGAGAAGGCCGCCATCTTTCTCAAGGTTTCTCTCCTCCTGTCTAACACTCCTGATCCTCAGAGAACTGGATCAGCAGGACCCCAGCGTTTGACCTTTAACCTCTCAAAATGTAAAGCATCAAGTGTGTGTGTGTCTCTCAGGGCTGAATGCTTCGAGTGTGTGTGTGTGTGTGTGATCTCACAGGACTGAACGCTTCAAGTGTGTGTGATCCTAACCCTAACCTGACCTGACCTGTCAATCATCTGTATAGATGAGGGCGACCTGTCAATCATCTGCAGTAAAGCTGACCTGTCAATCATCATGGAAATATGCAGATCCTCGTCTCGGTTCTGTGGGTTTGACTGTATTCCTTTAATAACTGTAATATGACCCAGATTATGAGCAGATCTGAGCGAATTCATTAATCAGAATCGTTAAACATCAGAACAAACTTCTTCAAACATCAGTGTGTGTGTGTGTGTGTGAGCGCTGAGCATGAAGTGTGTGAGTCTAATGTGAGCTGTAATCGGCAGGATTCACTCTTTCCACTCGTGCTTCTCTTCTGCTGTAACACACACACACACACACACACACACACTTCCTGAGCGACGGCTGAATTAGTGTTGTTTTCCACGAACTGAAACGCTTTAAACTCTGCAGTCTGATGTGTGTGTTCTCGGAGGATCTCATATCTTTATTCTATTCCGTTTCAACTTTTTATATTCGAACATTTCTGCAGAACTAACTCAAGATTACATCAGCTCTTCAGTCAATATCGACATGAATCTTCAATTCATAATTCAGCTTCATTCACAAGTTGCTTCCCAGCAGATGCAAATATATTCTAAGATCTTTATCATATGAAAGCGTTATTTCTGAATCTTCAAAATATCCGGTTTATGAAATGTTTTATAAACGTATTTTATTTGTGTGAACGACCGTTAAGGGAACATTCCATTGTGTCATCCCTCAAACATGAGAGCGTTACTTTTGAACGCGTTTAAAAACCGTACGAACATCCAACTATAAAAACGTTAATTCTGCATCTTCGAAATGTTTTTCTTGGTTATGTGAACGTTACATTGTATCATTCCTTAATCATTATGAGAATGTTACTTTTGAACGTTCTAAAAACAAGTACCAATATTTAAAAAAGCGAAGTTTCAGAAAGCGGTACATGATGTGTTTGCGTTATAACGCTTTGAGCGCGAAGAATGAACGCTGTTTTACTGGAGGAACGCTTGTGCTCGACTCGAGATCGTTCCTGCTCTCGGTGAACGCGTGTTGTGTTTGTTCAGTCGCTGCTGATGTTGGACAGTGGGAAACTCTTCAACACTGCAGTGATGATGATGATGATGATGATGACGAGCGCTGGAAAATACTGCTCAAAAACATCATTTCAAGGAACGCGCGTCAGATTCAATAACAAACTCACGAAATGCTGAATTTACCCTTTCCATGCAGACTTCATTCTGTGAAATGTGTCACACCTGACAGACGCGGATCACACACACACACACACACACACACACATTCATATTTGTGTGGATTAATTAAGATTTCATATTTTTTGTGAAAGAGTCCCATCAAAAGATCTTCTCACCATCGCTGCGTTTATTGACCAAAAAAACAGTAAAAACAGTGATATATTATTATAGTGTAAATCATCTGTTTTCTAAGTGAATCTAAAGTGTAATTTATTCTGTGATAAAGCGGAGTTTATCCTCATTACTCCAGTCTTCAGTGTCAAGAAAGACATTTATAATGTTACAAAAGATTCTATTTCAAATAAAACAAAACATTTAGAATTTGTAACAATGTTGAAAACAGTTTCATATTTTTTTGTGGAAACTGATACATTTTATTTTTCAGGATTCTTTGATGAATAAAGTTCAACAGAACAGAATTTATTTGAAATAGAATCATTGTAACATTATAAATGTTGGTTTATAAATAAAAGTATGATTTTTTACCAAGTATATATTTTTATATATACACGTTATTAATCTTCAAAACTTATGTATAAATATTTACATTCTATTTTGTAATTCTAAGTTTGAGTAGGCGTCAACTGGTTTGATCATATTAATTAAAATCATCAAACATTATTTTTCTTTAAAGTTAATCGCTAACCGTGATCGCTTCATTCACACTAACCCGTCCCTCATTTACTCTCTAATCTAAAGTCTAAAACTAATTTAATAATCTTTATTGCAGGAAATAAGAATGCATTCTTCAGTCCAACTTTATTCTAAGCTCGTAGAATAAGAGTTAAATAAAGTATATATTCAGTTTGTCTTCAGGAAACACTCGATTACACACACACACACACACACACGTCTGCCAAAAACATTACTGTGTCAAAATCAAAATGTAAAACTTTTACTTTTATGTAAAATCGTTCGGTTGTTTTTCTCTGTAAATGTTGATGTGGAATTAATTATGTTAATCATGCAATGAATTTGATTAAAAACTGATTGATTGACAGGATATGCACTTCAGTGTAACTCTAATGCAACAAATCCGTTTACAATAAATGTAACATTTTATGAGGCTCATTTTGTTTTCAAGAATTATAACATTTAATTTAAAATGTAACAGTGGCTATTGAAATATATATATGATCAATATATATAAATATATATATATGATCAAAATATATTTATGATCAATTCCCACTGAAGAAAACTGATTATATTGATATTAGAATTGACTATATAAGCATATCTCTAAAATCTGAGAGATTGGAAAGTGTTTTCTGGATAATAACGACTGACCGTAGAGCGGCGAAACACTGCGATCGCACGAGTTCTGTTCACTAGTTCTGTTTAATAATTCTGTCCAATAATTCTGTCCACTAATTCTGTTCACGAGTTCTGTTCACTAATTCTGTTCAATAATTCTGTTCACTAACTCTGTTCACTAGTTCTGTTCACTAGTTCTGTTCAATAATTCTGTTCACTAACTCTGTTCACTAGTTCTGTTCACTAGTTCTGTTCACTAGTTCTGTTCAATAATTCTGTTCACTAACTCTGTTCACTAGTTCTGTTCACTAGTTCTGTTCACTAGTTCTGTTCACTAACTCTGTTCACTAACTCTGTTCACTAGTTCTGTTCAATAATTCTGTTCAATAATTCTGTTCAATAATTCTGTTCACTAACTCTGTACACTAGTTCTGTTCACTAGTTCTGTTCAGTGATTCTGTTCACTAATTCTAGTCCTGTCCTCTAGTTCTGTTTACTAGTTCTGTTTAGTAGTTCTGTGCTTTAGTTGTGTTCTCTAATTCTGTTCACTAATTCTGTTCAATAATTCTGGTTCTGTCCTTTAGTTCTGTTTACTAGTTCTGTTCAATAATTCTGCTCAATAATTCTGTTCACTCTGTTCACTAGTTCTGTTCACTAGTTCTGTTCAGTGATTCTGTTCACTAATTCTAGTTCTGTCCTCTAGTTCTGTTTACTAGTTCTGTTCACTAATTCTGTTCAATAATTCTGCTCAATAATTCTGTTCACTAACTCTGTTCACTAGTTCTGTTAACTAGTTCTGTTCACTAATTCTGTTCAATAATTCTGTTCACTAGTTCTGTTCACTAGTTCTGTTTTCTAGTTCTGTTCTCTAGTTCTGTTCACTAATTCTGTTAACTAGTTCTGTTCAATAATTCTGTTCACTAGTTCTGTTCACTAGTTCTGTTCACTAGTTCTGTTTTCTAGTTCTGTTCTCTAGTTCTGTTCACTAGTTCTGTTCACTAATTCTGTTCACTAACTCTGTTAAGTAATTCTGTTCACTAACTCTGTTCTCTAGTTCTGTTCAATAATTCTGTTCACTAATTCTGTTCACTAGTTCTGTTCACTAGTTCTGTTCACTAATTCTGTTCAGTAATTCTGTTCACTAACTCTGTTCACTAGTTATGTTCACTAGTTCTGTTTAGTAGTTCTGTTCAATAATTCTGTTCTCACAGTAAAACATCATGAGGTTTGAGTCTGACTGGGTTAAAGAGCAGAAGATGACGAACCCTTAGATGAGCTGTGTGTGTGTGTGTGTGTGTGTGTGTGTGTGTGTGTGTGTGTGTAGGGAATAGAATATATAGTTTGTCCAGTGTAAAAACCATTATGCCTATGGAATGTCCTCACAAGTATAGCAAAACAAACCTGTGTGTGTGTGTGTGTGTGTGTGTGTGTGAGAGAGGAAGCTCAGATCAGCCACATTTAGACCAGCATCCTAAACACCTGTAGTTCACCGTCAAACACAACAGATGATTATGATTATGATTATGAACTGAAGTCTGCTCTTGTATTCATCATCATCATCATCACACTTTTATCAAATTTATAATCATTGCAGAAGCTTCTCATCTCATGCGCTCTTCTAATGTTTCTGCATCTCCAGTCGTTTTATTCATCCGATCAGACCGAAAGCACTGAGATATTGAAGTTTAAGTGACATGAATGATAGAACATCTACTATGATGTTTATAAAAACATGAAATTAATATGAATTGTTCACTGCAATAATGCTCTTCCTCAGAGTTTCTGTCTCGCTTTCCGGCACAAAAATACAAACATTCTTAAATCAAGACACAATAACTGAGAATGACTGAAGATATTAATGAAAAATGAGAGTTTTTGCTTAAAACGAGAGCAAATCTCTGCCGATGATCATAAACAGAACAGATGAATGAAGGTTATGTTTCAGATTAACAGATATTCTATGAAGCTCAAAATCACTTCAGTAATATTTGTTATATGAAAAACAAAATTTGGAGCAGCTCGTTTATCAGTATAGTCCAGAGCAGTTTTGAAGAGTTTCACACACAGCGACATGTTTAATCTGTGTGTGTACGTGTGTGTGTGTGTGTGTGTTTGTGTGAGAGAGAACGTGTTTGTGAGAGTGTGTGTGTTTGTGAGAGAGTGTGTGTGTGCTGTTGAGTGTGTTTATATTTGTATGGGTGTCAAGTCATCGTCATTTATATAGCGCTTTTAACAATGTGTGTGTGTGTGTGTGTGTGTGTGTGTTCCTCCCGTTTTATCTCTCACTGACACGTTATTCAGTTAGAGCAGCTGAACAAACCGCTGAACTAGAAAAAGCTCCAGTCTCAAACACCACAAACACTTTAGACGAGACTCTGTGTGTGTGTGTGTGTGTGTGTGTTATATAATAATGCTGAAAGTGCTCAGTGTTTATAAACTGAATGATGTTCTTCTTCAGTGTTTCTTGTTTTCCAGCACAAATATCTCTTAAATCATGACACGTTACTGAAGAAGCAGAACGACTGAAGATATTAAGTCTTATTTACTGAAAAATCTATCAAAATGAAGTTCGTTTTTACTTAAAACAAGAGCAAATATCAATCGAATCAGAAAAATTGGCTGATATTTGTTCTCGTTTAAAGCACAAAGACGCTTCATTTTGGTCATTTTTTTCAGGAAATCTAATTTTTTGTTTTAACGTTGATTTTACCCTCACATTGTGTTCGGGACATTTTGACCCGGAAGGTGTTCGATTTTTCCTGTAAATAGTTAATGTTATTACACTGAACTAAACCACAATTTCCCTCAAAATTTATTTTGATCATTTTTTTTACTTTTACACCTTTAGGCTCTCTCTTTTCCAGCACTTTAGACACAGTTGCTCCTTTGCGCTTAATAAAGATTAGTCCAACGCCGTGGTACAGCGAGCACACTCACCTAACTAACCTAACTAACCCCTCTAACCTAACTAACCCCACTAACCTAACTAACCCCACTAACCTAACTAACCCCACTAACCTAGCCCTGGAGAGAGCAGTCAGAAACATGGAGTGAAATGGAGGAAAACAGCAGGTTTATCGTATGTTGTGGAAGGGCAGTGTTACTGCATACGGAGGCTTTAAAAGCGGCTCGATCTGCTTATTCTTCACCTCTCTTAGAAGAAAACAAACAGAACTCGAGGGATTTATTTGATACAGTGGCTCAACTAACAAGAAATAAAGCTTCAACTTCTGTCGTTTCCAAGCAGCAGTAATGACTATTAACTTTACTTGCCAGATTGATCATATTAGAAAGAATATTATACCTATACAGCCGTCCACTACAGTATCGCATCAGGCGTTGTGCTATGAAGAGCACTCCTGTTCATTCTTTGCTATAGGAGACGGGGAATCATCTTTGAAACAAAAGAAGATATTTTGTAAATGTCAGTAATTAAACCGCTGATGGCCCCATTCGCAGTATTTTATTCCCTTCTATAGGAGTCAGCGGGGCTTGGGCACATTTAGATGCTCATATTCTTCAAAATATCTTCTTTTGTTTTCGGCTGAAGAAAGAACTTCATACAGGTTTGGAACAACTTGAGGAAAAGATGACTGAATGTTCATCTCTGAGTGAACTATCCCTTTAATATTATCAATTCATCTTTGTCACTATAGGATATGTATCAATAGGATATTTAAGCTGGCTATGATTGAAACACTTATTTAAAAAAAACGCAACTTGATCTCGAATCTACCTCTTCTGTCATAGACACTATAAGGCAGTCTCCTCACAACTGTGTTCCTTTCTGAAAAGAAATAATATCTGCGTGATTTCCAGTCCGTATTTAGAGCGTACCACAGTACCGAGACAGCTCTCGTCAGAGTCACGCATGATCTGCTCTCATCATCCGATCGCGGTCGTATCTCTCTATTAGTGTTACTCCATCTCAGTGCTGCGTTCGACACCATCGACAACAACATTCTCTTAAATAGACTAGAAGACTATGTTGACATCAGTGGATCTGCATTAGGTTTAAATCACGCTTATCTGAGCGTTATCATCAGTGTGTAGCAGTAAATGAAGAGATGTCTTATCCATCACAAGTTCAGTATGGCGTACCACAAGGCTCAGTACTAGGACCGCTGCTGTTCACTCTGTACATGCTTTACACACACACACACTCACACACACACACACACACACACACACTGTACACGCTACCCTTAGGAGATATCATTAGGAAGCATGGCATTAGTTTTCACTGTATGTTGATGATACTCAGCTCTATATCTCTTCACACCCTGACGAAACTCACCAATCCACAAAATTAACAGAATGCATAAAAACTGGATGACTAGTAATTTACTAAATTCTGAAAAAACCCACCGTTATTGGACAAACTTCCTCACTTAATAAGCTATAATACTGTCTGACACTCGATGGCTGCTCTATCAAGCCTTCGTCGTCTGTTAGGAAGCTGGAGGTGTGTGTGTGTGTGTGTGTGTGTGTGTGTGTGCTCTTTGATAGCAATCTTTCATTTGAACGTTTCTAGTATCTGTAAAACCACATTATTCCATCTTAAAAATATTTGTAAATTACAACATATGCTCTCAACAAATGTGGAAAAGTTAGTTACATCATTACATCAGAAGAATGTCAGCTACGCTAATATTAGTCTTTATGTTTATCTGTAGTCAGCCGGATCCGGCCCGTATCCAGATCCAGTTTTGCATTGTTTGCTTCTCATCAGTAATCTGCTGTTGTGTGTGTGTGTGTGTGTGTGTGTGTGTGTGTGTGTGTGTGTGTGTGTGTGTCCCGCAGAAGCAATGTCGCCTCACGACCCGCACAACTGCTACATTCTGGACGGCCTTCTGCTGATGTACGGGATCATCATCACTGCGTTCTTCGTGCACGCTCGAGTGAGTGACTGACACACACACACACTCACACACACACACACACACACATTTTTTTTCAGTTATCTCAACCTTTCTCAAATTTCACCAGAATGATGATGAAGAAAGGTTGAGGAATGATACAATGGGAAGTTTCCTTAAAGGGGACATATCAGGAAAATCTGTCATTTTTACGAGTTTAAGTGCTTTAATCGGGTCCCGGTGCGTCTACCGACACAGAAAAGGCTCACCAAAACAAACCGACTGGGTTTTACTTTTGAAATGTCCAGAAACGTGTAAAAGTGAAGCTCTCGCTGAGTCTCTCCGTAAGGCGGAGCTAAAGCTGCTGAACTCCTGATCCTGGATCAGTCAGATCCGCCTGTGGCGTTATTGCCTAAGTGAAGGCTCCGCCCTCTTCTGGATGGAGGCGGAGCTAAAGCTCATTTGCATTTAAAGGGACACCCCCATTAAACGGCACGTTTTTGCTCACACACACACACAGACAAATTTGACGATCTGTAATAAATGATCTGGGGGGATTTTTAGAGACACATTGTGGGGACGCCAGAGATTTATATTACATCTTGTGAAAAAGGGGCGTAATACGTCACCTTTAACGGTCACAAAACCAAGAAAAACATTTTTTAAATATGTAATAAACTGGACATTTTGAATATTCAGAAATAATATTTGCATAACTTCATGAGAATGTTAGCAAAACATTAATGAAGTTTCTTCCTTCAGTTCGTCAGGAAGAGAAGCAAAGCAGACGACGCAGAGTCTCCGTATCAGGTGAGATCACATCACAAGAACAATCCTCCTGATGTTGGAGATCCTGATGTTAGATCCTGATGTCAATGTGTGTTTGATGTGTTCAGGCCATTAACCCCAGTGGGAAGGAGGTGTACAGTAACCCGAAGCACAGCGCTGAAGGGGTGAGTGATGATACACACCACAGACATGACATCACACGTCACATGATGAGCCTGTGATCACTTTGAGTTTTTCAAAACAGCTTTACATTGATAACAGGAAAATGATGATGAAAAAGTTCAGTGATGGTTCATTTTTGTTGTAAAAATTAATTAATATATATATATATATACAGTATTTATATAGCCAGTCTGGAGAAAACCGTGATGTCATCATCCAGCTCAGTTCAGTTCTCATATAATAGTGTCAATGCAGGAGATCAATAATATTGTTGAATATCAAATGACATTCAGAATATTATCCAGTTCCCTCTGGTTGAAGATCGGGTTCCCGCTGGTCATATGGGCTGGTCATGCTGCGTTTTGGACATGTAGTTTGTTTATTAAGCGTGCAGGGAAACCCCCCATAACAGCATTACAGTAATCTAACCTCGATGTCACGAACGCATGAACTGTCCCGCATTCGTCAATGAGAGCATATGATGTCATTTAGATATATATTTTAAGATGGAAGAATGCGGTTTTACAGATGCTAGAAAAACGTGACTTTCAAATGAAAGATTGGTATCAAAGAGTGTGTGTGTGTGTGTGTGTGTGTGTTTCACAGGGTCGCAGGAGAGGAGGAGACGACACCTACACGGTAAGAGCTTCATCACAACAGGAAGGAAGTTTATTAGCAGCGCGTGAGAATAATGAAGCAGAAGCTCAGCGTTCACCACAGAAGCTCAAACTCACCGTTACACAAGCCACTATAATATAATATAATATAATATACAGCGTAAGAAAATAATCTCAAGCTTACTGATGACAAGAGTCACAAATTAAAATAGAACAAAGGCACAATACATCGACTTATGAAAAACTTTAAGCACTGAATAATATTATATTATATAAAGTAATCAAATATACAATAGCCTACATGGTTTTCACTATAAATTCAACATTCATTCTTGTTCATTTTGCAAAAGTTCAAATACAGTAACGTTAAATTCCTTTCTTTCTGATGTTTGATTAACATTATCGACACACATGGCGACAGCATCTTTATTAGCAGCGTCTGTCACTTTGAGACCTCAGAGTCGGATTCAAGTGCGAAAAGTCTCAAAACCAGCATTTACAAAACTAATTCTCTCCCGCTGCTCTCTGTGCCTGAGCAGTTTGAAATAATTTGTATCCAAACCACAATGTTTAAAAACGCGTTTAAATGATAAACTTGCATCGATGCGCAGCAAAATTTAAATATTTCTACCGGATATGCAACCCGGTATCACGACAAGAAGTGAAATAATCACGTTGGTCCACTTTGGAAAACGTGAAGATGTCACGGTTTAACCCACGTTTGACCTATTCTACACGCAATCGCCTCTGCCATAACGACCTATTGGTTTTCATTAAACCGAGAAAAATGGAATTTTGTTTTATTGACGATCACTGAGAAATGTTCTATTAATTAAAATGCAAAAAAGTATTATTTTCAAGGTGAAAAGGATTCATTTGCCTTGATCCACGCCGAAAAAAAACGTCAAAATGTCACGTTTTAATGAAGTAGCCAAATGAGTAAAATGTCTATTTTTCCGGCGTCCCCCAGCTCCTCGTTTAAGCAAAAGGTTCGCAAAAACAACGCATTACATCGACGTTAAACCACGTTAACCGTGTTAAACATAACCTTTTAAATACTCGGGAAGAAACTCCTGTAACTTCAGTGCCGTTAGCACCTTAGTGTTTACAGATTAGGAGACATTACATTAGTGTGTTTGCTGCACATTTGTAATGTTATACATTTAAAATAGGTTAACATCCGGGTATCTCTCCACTGGAATGTGTAAGTTTCACGTTTGAAGGGGTTAAACCGTGACACGTTTTCCAAAGTGGACCAACGTGATTATTTCACGTCTTGTCGTGATACCGGGTTGGGATATATTATCGCCAGTCCTTTAGGCGAATATAGAGTTTAATCAAACACAAAAAACAAAATTATACATCCATCAAGTTAATATTCAAACTTACCGAAAGTTTGTGGGGTCGATGATATCATCAGTAGCTGCTCTGATCTCTCTCTCGTAATCACTCGGTGTAACGTTAGTCTTTGCCCCAGTACATGATGTGCGTGACTCGTGAGACCCGCCTGGCTCGTGGCTCGTCACATACTAAAAAAGGCGGGTCTTTGCGAACGTCTCTATTAATGATAATGATTCCATGATAATGCATGCAATATAACAGGGGAAAGTGCCACTAATTAACAGGGCTAATTTGTGGGAGACGTTGCGTGGTAAGGCTTAATCAGATGGCTTGCAGTATCTGCTCCACAGCCAATCACGGGCCCCCTCCTTGCTTGAGCCCCGCCTAGCCCTATGGTTAATGCGGCCGTTGTCAATCTATTTCATATTGATGGAAAGAGTCTCCAGAAATCACACATATATTTACATTTGCCTGAAAAAAATCAAACCTTTATTTTATTGGGTTACACTTTATTTGTGCCTTTGTTACAGTGAAACTAAACATTTAATATTAAACATGTTACTAAGTGACATAATGAACTACATGCTAGTCTCATTAGGGTTGCATCATGTATTTATGCATATGCTGTATATTACTACAGTAACTACAGTAACGTGTAACAAGGACACTGTAAAATGGAGTGTTGACGTTTATTGTTTAATTCACATGATGATTATGAATATGATGGTTTGTTTCAGCCTCTGACCAGAAAGGCAGACGACACGTATCGTGAGATCGAGCCCAGAGGAGACGTGAGTGTTTTACTCTGATCTGGTGTTGATTAGTGTGATTGTGGTATTGATAGACTGATTGTGTGTTGTGTTGATTAGTGTGATTTGAGAAGAGACTGATTGTGTGTGTTGTTGTTCTCGTCCTCAGCGTCGTCGGGATCAGGTTTATCAGGTCAGAAGTGTTTCAGATCTCCGGGTAAAGTGCTTGATATTTGATCTGTTCAGAAGTGTGTGTTTTCTGACTGAGTGTGTGTTTGTTTCAGGGTCTGAGCTCCATGACTAAAGACACGTATGACTCTCTGCACATGCAGCAGATTAACCCGCCGCCTCGCTAGAAGCTCGTCTAACCCTCGTCAGGACAGTCCATTCCCGAGTCCATTCCTGAGTCCATTCCCGAGTCCGTTTCACAGTCCACTCCCATGCCATCCCTAAATCCGGTGTTCGGACTTTTCATGCTACCCATCGAGATTTGCTACTTACCGGTTATGCGCATGTGCAGACTCACAGTTTTTTTTTTTTTTTTACTAAAGGTACATTCCTGTTATAATGTATAATTTCCCTTAGAAAATGCTTACTACCATATGAATATTTGTATGGTCAGCCAGCTGAAAAAGAATAACTGAAAGTTTCAGTTACTAAGAGGAAAGGTGTACTTTGACAAGTCAAAGATGAATATTTTATGATAATTTTTACTTTTCACACCGTTTTAAAAATAAAAACAGTAGTCTACAGTATACAGTAGCTACTCATAACTTAGAATTGTATTATAATTGTATTTCATACGACTTTAATCGGCATTCTGTGATCAATCCGTGCTACGGTAGCATTTTTCGGACCGGCTCCAGGCCTTCTTTCCTTCCTAAAGGCCCCAGACACGATTATTGTGTTTTTACAGTAACAGTTTCTCCACTTCATGAATGATACTTTCATAACGAGCTCAAAGTTTACATGTTCGTACATGTCCAGTAGCGTTAAAGTCAGAACAATCGGTGTCACTTTACATTAACATCAACTAACAATGAACAATACTTTCATTAATACAGCATTTATTGATTTTAGTCAAGACCAATGATCTGTTGTATATTACTAACAGTAACAAAGGTTAATAAATGCTTAAAAAAAGTATTTTTGATTGTTAGTTAATGCATCAACTAATATTGACAAACGGATCTTTAAAGTGATACCCAAAAATCCCCATAAAGCCTCTGACAGTAAACCGGACTGAGCGAACCATTAAACATCATGTGATTCAACTAATGATTCATTCTGGACGAGTCTACACTCCTAAATAGAGTTTCCAAAATGTTCTTTATTCACAGCGAAGCTAAAATATATTTTGGGATTTTCACATTTCTCAAAAGAACCATTTTAAACACATTGTAATAATAATCTAAAGAACCTTTTGTGTAATGGGAAGATAACGGATGTTAAAGGTTCTTGGTGAAACCGTCATCACTGCATCTTTAATATTGAACACGGTTCTGAAAACACACTTAATTTCTGGTGTTTCTGTGGGGAAATACGAGCCGTCGTTTTGAGATTCACTGAGTTTGATGTCTTGTGTCCTTTATCGTGGCTTTTAGTAACATAATGCATTTACTCTTTTAAAAACTGAGAATTTAATTTTGTTGTTAATTTGTGTCTGTAATTGTGTCATCAGCTTGTTAATAAAATGATTTTTCCATTGCACTTGTCAGTAAATAATGAGTTTTGAAGCTTGATTGGACTCAGAAGAACAGATCATACAGGAGAACAGTCTGAGAAAAACATTTAATGAAATCTACAGCAACAGCAACACGACACACACTCGTCAACAGCAACCAAAACACACACACACACACACACACACACACACACACACACACACACACACTCCGGAGGAGATCATGAGAACTACCAGCGCATCCAGAACAGCCTGCGCAGGACCAACAGATGTGTGTGTGTGTGTAAGAGAGTGAGTGTGTGTGTGTGTGAGTCTGTGTGAGTAAGTGTGTGTGTGTGTAGCCCTTCTGCATGATATAAAACACATTCTTCAGAGAAACTCAACACACTTTGTCTGAATCACAATGAGAAGGACTGGAAACTGAGACGCTGCTGTTTCTCGTACAGTGAGAAAATGATTAATATTCCACCATTAAAATCAATAAACCTGTTACTGGATCATTAAGACGAGAACGTGACATTAATTTCCAATGAATTATACATTTAAAAAAATGAAGGGAAAGGCAAAGAGGAAGTGAATAATCTTTGGTTTTCATCCTCAGAGGACTTTTGCTTTGGGAACCACAAAATAAAAAACTTTTTTGTACATATTTATATATATATTTATAATCCTGGTATATCTTGTGTGTGTTTGAGTGAAGATGATGAAGAAACGGCGGAGCGGATGACTCTTTGGTTTTCAGAAAACAATAAAGCCGCTAAAGATGAAAGACTGAAATATTTCCTATATTAAACTTTCAGAATGGAAACGAATGATATTAATAGATCAACATCGCCGCCTTCCGTCTCTACAGTTTCATGTTCATTATAAACCTCAGAGCGGCTCACGAGCAGACGAAGACAAGGACTGCACACAGTAGTATTCTCTGACTGAAGATCAGTGGAGGTATTATGCAAACACACGTCCCTGACCTCTGACCTCATGTCCCTGACCTCTGACCTCTCCTACACATCTCTGTTCGCTGACGGCCGCTCTGGCACACAGAGGCTAACTTTGGTTGCAACTTCTTCTGTGATTCTGTTTGCATCCGTTTCGGCACAGTACGACTCGTGTGTGTGTGTGTGTGTGTGTGTGTGTGTGTGACGGACTGATGACAGAAACACTCCAACGGAATCAAACAAATCACTGCAACATCACAGACTCCAGTAACAGGTCAGGGTGAGTCTTATGGAAGCTTGTTCAACACAAGAAAAAAACGTCATGGAAAATCCGACTCTGACTGGGAACTCCCACTTGGTTTCTCGGAACTTTGACTGGGAAGTCTGACTTGGTTACTGGGAAAAACGACTAAAAAAAAAGTTGTGAGAAAGTCACAATTACCTTAGTATTTTTTTCTTCTGTGGCAGAAACAAGCTTCCACAGACTCCGAGAGCGGTCCAGCGAGACGTGAGATCAGCGATGGCGTTTCTGAACACTAGAGGCCAGGGAGATAAACGGTCAACATCCAGGATTTGATGAGACAGGACATACGTGAGGTGGAACACACAGATTTAATATTGATGACCTCGCCTCTGCCGCCACACAGGGTCAGAGTTCAGACAGACGAGTGACGGATTGCATTTCTCACAGGAGACGCCGTGCTCACTGCGATCTTTATTACTAGTTAAAGCCTTCTAACCGTATTTATAAAGTGATGTCGAGTTAGAGTACTAGTTTAAAAAGTCATCGACGCGCAACTTAAAACATCTCAAATGCTTTTGGTTATAAATCTACAATCGGCCGTTTCAGAGCCGCAAATAAAACCAACAGACACCCTCGTAGAAAGTCGATATAAACTCTGTTACATGAAATAATCTCTCGAGAAGAATCTGCCGTCATGAAAAACGCTCACATTTTTGGTTAATTTAGACGTTAGTTTCAGAATTAATGCAAAAATAAAGTTCATCCGGACCGCGCGGCGTCCTGCAGCGGACCCGACCCGCGCGGCCAGCCCTGCTCTCGGCACCGGCCGGACCAGTTTTTGGTAATAGCGACAGGGTTACTCGCGTTCGGCGCTCACTGGGCCTTCGAGGCCAAGGCCACGCTCTTCGTCGTCATGGCAACCGGACTCTGCTGCACGTCACTGGTCACATGCAGGTTGAGAGCTCCGCCTCCTGCCCCGCCCCCCGACAGGAGATTGGCTGGCAGCAGAGACAAGCCGGAGGGGTTGAGGAAGAAGGGCGTGGTCATCAGACCGGGGGCGGGGCTTCCTGCACTGGTGTTGGCGAATAGGAGGCCAGTGTTTCCGTCGAAGGACGTCAAAGGAAGAGCGCCGCCCGACGCAAGAGCTGCTGAACACACACACACACACACGCGTTCATGATGTTAATGTTCATATTGATGACCAGCTCTAATCTGACAAATGCAACTATAATTACAGTCAAATTAAAAATTATTCAGACATCTGATATGATTATGATCTTGTTTTACAAGTGACCATTAGACACACACACACACTGAACAACATGAAGCATCGCTTGTTAATCGGTTAAACTAAACTGGTATTATCTAATAGTGTACATAATTATAGCAAATAAACTGTAATATTGTGAGAAACATTGAAGGTGTCTGAATATTTTTGGATTGACTGTAAATAATTGAGCAGTTGAGATTTGCTATACAGTGAATAGATGCAGACACAGAGGTCAGAGGTCATACCCTGGATGGTGGCCAGTGTGTTGTTGTTCATCAGTGTGTTTCCCAGAGCAGGAGAAAAACTCAACAGCGTCCCACTACACAACACAAGCAGAAAACACCATCAACACATAATCGCACGGATCACACGCCACCAATGAGGCGTCACTGGGGGCGGAGCTTTCAGCGTCATGTGACCAACAAAACCAACAAAAATGTTTGATAACAGAACATTTAAGACACAACAGGTGACCTTTCCCTACTCGAGTAATCGCAGTATATTAAGACAATTATGTATTACAGGCTTTCTGAAATGTTATGTTTGATGTAATTAAATATGCACTAATTTGCATACCATTGCAGAACAGATTCTGAACACTGGATAAAGCCAGATTCTGTTAACATATTAGAGTTAAAGGTATTTCCAGGGTTTTTTAAAATCTTTTTGTACTCCATAACTCAAAATACTGTCAACAGACTGAACACAAATACATTTTCACCGTGCTTTAACAGTCAAATCTTGAATAAATCAGGCGAATGATATCACAATAGAGATGTGAATAGAACTGTTTGGTGTGTGTGAAGCTGCGGACTCAAACTCACCGCCTTTAAAGAGTGTGGAGATTTAAATCTACATACGCAAATAGATGAAGTGCACTGAAATAAGCACTTAAAAGTGTGTTTTAGATGTTTTCTTTCCACTAGTCTGAAAGAAGACGACTGTGATGGAGCAGAAGAGCTCAAACTGAGCAGAGCAACACTGTTAGATCTTTATTGCATTTGCATTTGTTTATAAAACGAACTTTTGTTGGAGCAATCCGATCTGCAGCATTAAAATACAAATAAAAATTATTTTGCATTTTACAAGTAAAATACATTTAACCCTTAATATAAATAAATACTCTAAAATATACAACAAATAAAACACAAAGTCATTGCACACTCGTTATGACTCTTATTATTTCTTAATTTGGGCAGAAGTGTGACCTGGACATGTTTCAGACCATAGACATCTCAGACAGTTTCCCCCCCGCACACACACACACACACACACACACACTCACTCACCCTTGCGTCAGCTGCGAGGGCGTTATGAACGTCGGGTTATATCCTGTGCCCGTCACCAGGAACTGCCCCGCCCCCTGCGTGGTTGCCGTGGAGACTGCCTCCTGTTTCACACTGGTGACGGACGGGCTCAATGACGACGATGTCACGGGCGTAGCGACGGGCGCCATGGAGATGACCGAGGGTGTGTGCGACGTCACCTGAGCCAGAGCACCACCTACAGCACACACACACACACACACACACACACACACACACACACACACACACACACACATTAAACAACATTCATGAGCTCACAGAGGAATATAGAGCTGCATGAAACTGTGAAAGGAGGATAAACGCACCGCTGAGCGTGAAGTTGGAGATGTTGCTGGCGTTCAGCGGAACAACAGAATTCACTGTTAGCGTGTTCGTGCTGGACACCTGGAAACAAGCGATCACTCCTCAATAATCGATCACTCACCATCTCGTCTGCAGCTACGGTTTAACGATGTGAAGTGACTCTGATTCATACGGTGTGTGTGTGACTGTGATGTGAAGTGACTCTGGTTCATACAGTGTGTGTGATGTGATGTGAAGTGACTCTGGTTCATACGGTGTGTGTGATGTGACTCTGGTTCATACGGCGTGTGTGTGACTGTGATGTGAAGTGACTCTGGTTCATACGGTGTGTGATGTGACTGGTTCATACGGCGTGTGTGATGTGAAGCGACTCTGGTTTATACGGTGTGTGTGATGTGAAGTGACTCTGGTTCATACGGTGTGTGTGATGTGACTCTGGTTCATACGGTGTGTGTGTGTGACTGTGATGTGAAGTGACTCTGGTTCATACGGTGTGTGTGACTGTGATGTGAAGTGACTCTGGTTTATACGGTGTGTGTGATGTGAAGTGACTCTGGTTCATATGGTGTGTGTGATGTGATGTGACTCTGGTTCATACGGTGTGTGTGTGACTGTGATGTGAAGTGACTCTGGTTCATACGGTGTGTGTGACTGTGATGTGAAGTGACTCTGGTTCATACGGTGTGTGTGACTGTGATGTGAAGTGACTCTGGTTCATACGGTGTGTGTGATGTGATGTGAAGTGACTCTGGTTCATACGGTGTGTGTGACTGTGATGTGAAGTGACTCTGGTTCATACGGTGTGTGTGATGTGATGTGACTCTGGTTCATACGGTGTGTGTGATGTGATGTGACTCTGGTTCATACGGTGTGTGTGTGTGACTGTGATGTGAAGTGACTCTGGTTCATACGGTGTGTGTGATGTGAAGTGACTCTGGTTCATACGGTGTGTGTGATGTGAAGTGACTCTGGTTCATACGGTGTGTGTGATGTGAAGTGACTCTGGTTCATACAGTGTGTGATGTGACTCTGGTTCATACGGTGTGTGTGATGTGAAGTGACTCTGGTTCATACGGTGTGTGTGTGACTGTGATGTGAAGTGACTCTGGTTTATACGGTGTGTGTGATGTGAAGTGACTCTGGTTTATACGGTGTGTGTGATGTGAAGTGACTCTGGTTCATACGGTGTGTGTGATGTGAAGTGACTCTGGTTCATACGGTGTGTGTGACTGTGATGTGAAGTGACTCTGGTTTATACGGTGTGTGTGATGTGAATTGACTCTGGTTCATACGGTGTGTGTGATGTGAAGTGACTCTGGTTCATACGTGTGTGTGTGATGTGAAGTGCTCTGGTTCATACGGTGTGTGTGATGTGAAGTGACTCTGGTTTATACGGTGTGTGTGATGTGAAGTGACTCTGGTTCATACGGTGTGTGTGATGTGACTCTGGTTCATACGGTGTGTGTGATGTGATGTGACTCTGGTTTCATACGGTGTGTGTGATGTGAAGTGACTCTGGTTTATACGGTGTGTGTGATGTGAAGTGACTCTGGTTCATACGGTGTGTGTGATGTGAAGTGACTCTGGTTCATACGGTGTGTGTGTGATGTGATGTGACTCTGGTTCATACGGTGTGTGTGATGTGAAGTGACTCTGGTTTATACGGTGTGTGTGATGTGAAGTGACTCTGGTTCATACGGTGTGTGTGATGTGAAGTGACTCTGGATCGTGACTCACAGTGTTGGCGCTGCTGTAGATGGCTTTGATGGCTGATGGTGACCCGCTACAGCTGCTGGGAGGATTGATCCGCTTCTCCTTCTGTCTGCGGTTACAGAACCAGACTCGCACCACCTCCTTCTCCATGTTGAGCTGATCTGCGATCAGTGTGATCTCCTCTGACGACGGCTTCTGGCTCTGCTGCAGATCACAAACATCATCACATCACACAATCACTCACTACAGCACTGATGTTGTGTGGAATAATCTGCTCAATATTTCTTTCTTACATCACTAAATACATTTAAACTAAAAGATTAAAACTATTAAACAAAATAAGACATTTTACTATTTTATTATTTCCCAGTAAAAAAAAGTTTTTTTCAGGGTCAGGGTTCAGTAGCCCTCTTGTGGTCAGGAGACCCGCTCACCTCCAGAAAGCTCCTCTCTAAGGCCAGGCGTATGGTGGTCTCGATGCTGGTCCGCTTCTTGCGGCGCCGGTTCAGACTCTCGCAGAGACCCGGAGACATCTCGCTCGCACTCGACACCACGCAGTCGGCGGACATGTTCTCTGCAGAAACACAGAGCGAGATGTGTTCATCAAATATCTCCATCTGTGTGCTGTGCAGTCTCCCGGTTCGCACCGAATACGGTGTTTATTTTTGTTATAATATGATTTTTTAATATAACACCGGTGTGTGTGTGTGTGTCTTTAGCAGCGCTGGGAACGCTCTCTGTGTGAGACAGGCTTTCACTGTTCACTGAAAATGGATCAACTATAACTGACGGCTGTCCAATTATATTACAGTGTTTCTCATACATCACAACATCAACTCTGCCCGCCACAACTAGATCTTCCAAAAAGGCTTTGACATGTTGAATAAACATGAGCACTGACACAAATGTGGCGTGGGTGTTTTTAATGAATGTTAATGTTTTAAACCAAAGATTCCCCATTACCAGTGAAACGCTGTTTCTGCAGCTACTACAGCGCCTCCTGCTGGACATCTTTGCAAACATCATTTTGTGGGACCTTACAAACCTTGTATTAATACTAGTGTGGAATATTTCTACAATATTCACTCATAAGAGTAAAATAGTGCATTCTAAAGGCCAGTTCACACCAAGGACGAGAACTATAAATATAAATAAAGATACAGTTCTAAAAATCGTTCTCCATATTAAAGAATTGCAGTTCACACCACAGCTATAACGATAACCATGTGAGGAGCGATATCGTTGGGATCACTTTCAGAATGATCTTTCCCAGCTGTCGAACAATAAAACACTGGCAGCCAATCAGAATACACTCGAATATAAAACACCAGACAACACTGTGGAGGAGTTGATCGCCGAGGAGCAGAACAATCCACCACTGACGAGTCAAACCCAGTTTTTAAGGGTAGCCTACGTAAAAAAAAAATGGATATATGGAAAGCAATCAGTCGTACCCTTGGAATAATTGGTGAGAAATGCTAACGGTGAGATCATTACACAGGCTAGCAAATAGAGCTACAAAATTACCTCAGGTATCCAGCGCTAGATTCGACAACATTGTATTTTAACAACACAAACCAATTAAATGTGAAACAGGTATGATCCTGACTAATAGCGTAATATAAAATAGCGCACAGCTCGAGTGTTCGTGCGTTGGCTCTGGGATCTCACCGGCGTCGGTCAGCCACTTCTCCAGCAGGGGTTTGAGCTTGCACATGTTCTTGAAGCTCAGGTTCAAGGCCTCGAATCTGGAGATGGTGGTCTGGCTGAAGTCGTTTCCGTAGAGCTTCCCCATCGCCAGCCCCACGTCCCCCTGAAACACACGGACACGTCAGCGTCACGCACCGGCTGGCGGCACACGCGTGTGGGAGAGACGCTCACCTGAGTGAAGCCCAGCTTGATACGCCTCTGCTTGAAGCTCTTGGCGAACTGCTCGAGCTCCTCGAGGTCGCCGGCCTCCTCCACACACGGGCCGTCCACACGCTTCGGGCCGGGACACGCCGGAGACGGCATCGCCGCAATCTTCCTCGTCGGGGTCGCCGCCTGGAGCGTCACAAACACATGCAAACATCACCGACACACTCCCGCAAACATCACCGACACACTCCCGCAAACATCACCGACACACTCCCGCAAACATCACCGACACACTCCAGCAAACATCACCGACACACTCCCGCAAACATCACCGACACACTCCAGCAAACATCACCGTCACACTCCCGCAAACATCTCCGACACACTCCCGCAAACATCACCGACACACTCCCGCAAACATCACCGTCACACTCCCGCAAACATCACCGTCACACTCCCGCAAACATCACCGACACACTCCCGCAAACATCTCCGACACACTCCCGCAAACATCACCGACACACTCCCGCAAACATCACCGACACACTCCCGCAAACATCACCGACACACTCCCGCAAACATCACCGACACACTCCCGCAAACATCACCGACACACTCCCGCAAACATCACCGACACACTCCCGCAAACATCACCGTCACACTCCAGCAAACATCACCGACACACTCCCGCAAACATCACCGTCACACTCCAGCAAACATCACCGACACACTCCCGCAAACATCACCGACACACTCCCGCAAACATCACCGACACACTCCCGCAAACATCTCCGACACACTCCCGCAAACATCACCGACACACTCCCGCAAACATCACCGACACACTCCCGCAAACATCACCGACACACTCCCGCAAACATCACCGACACACTCCCGCAAACATCACCGACACACTCCCGCAAACATCACCGACACACTCCCGCAAACATCACCGTCACACTCCCGCAAACATCACCGTCACACTCCCGCAAACATCACCGACACACTCGCGCAAACATCACCGACACACTCCCGCAAACATCACCGACACACTCCCGCAAACATCACCGACACACTCCCGCAAACATCACCGTCACACTCCAGCAAACATCACCGACACACTCCCGCAAACATCACCGACACACTCCCGCAAACATCACCGACACACTCCCGCAAACATCACCGACACACTCCCGCAAACATCTCCGACACACTCCCGCAAAACATCACCGACACACTCCCGCAAACATCACCGACACACTCCAGCAAACATCACCGACACACTCCAGCAAACATCACCGACACACTCCCGCAAACATCACCGACACACTCCCGCAAACATCACCGACACACTCCAGCAAACATCACCGACACACTCCCGCAAACATCACCGACACACTCCCGCAAACATCACCGACACACTCCCGCAAACATCACCGACACACTCCCGCAAACATCACCGTCACACTCCAGCAAACATCTCCGACACACTCCCGCAAACATCACCGACACACTCCAGCAAACATCTCCGACACACTCTAGCAAACATCACCGACACACTCCCGCAAACATCACCGACACACTCCAGCAAACATCACCGACACACTCCAGCAAACATCTCCGACACACTCCCGCAAACATCACCGACACACTCCAGCAAACATCTCCGACACACTCTAGCAAACATCACCGACACACTCCCGCAAACATCACCGACACACTCCAGCAAACATCTCCGACACACTCCCGCAAACATCACCGACACACTCCCGCAAACATCACCGACACACTCCCGCAAACATCACCGTCACACTCCCGCAAACATCACCGACACACTCCAGCAAACATCACCGACACACTCCAGCAAACATCTCCGACACACTCCCGCAAACATCTCCGACACACTCCCGCAAACATCACCGACACACTCCCGCAAACATCACCGACACACTCCCGCAAACATCACCGACACACTCCCGCAAACATCACCGTCACACTCCCGCAAACATCACCGACACACTCCCGCAAACATCACCGACACACTCCCGCAAACATCACCGACACACTCCCGCAAACATCACCGACACACTCCCGCAAACATCACCGACACACTCCAGCAAACATCACCGACACACTCCAGCAAACATCACCGACACACTCCCGCAAACATCACCGACACACTCCCGCAAACATCACCGACACACTCCCGCAAACATCACCGACACACTCCCGCAAACATCACCGACACACTCCCGCAAACATCACCGACACACTCCAGCAAACATCACCGACACACTCCCGCAAACATCACCGACACACTCCCGCAAACATCACCGTCACACTCCCGCAAACATCACCGACACACTCCAGCAAACATCACCAACACACTCCAGCAAACATCACCGTCACACTCCCGCAAACATCACCGACACACTCCCGCAAACATCACCGACACACTCCCGCAAACATCACCGACACACTCCCGCAAACATCACCGTCACACTCCAGCAAACATCACCGACACACTCCAGCAAACATCACCGTCACACTCCCGCAAACATCACCGACACACTCCCGCAAACATCACCGACACACTCCCGCAAACATCACCGACACACTCCCGCAAACATCACCGACACACTCCCGCAAACATCACCGACACACTCCCGCAAACATCACCGTCACACTCCCGCAAACATCACTGACACACTCCAGCAAACATCACCGACACACTCCCGCAAACATCACCGACACACTCCCGCAAACATCACCGACACACTCCCGCAAACATCACTGACACACTCCAGCAAACATCACCGACACACTCCAGCAAACATCACCGACACACTCCAGCAAACATCTCCGACACACTCCCGCAAACATCACCGACACACTCCAGCAAACATCTCCGACACACTCCAGCAAACATCTCCGACACACTCCAGCAAACATCTCCGACACACTCCAGCAAACATCACCGACACACTCCCGCAAACATCACCGACACACTCCCGCAAACATCACCGTCACACTCCCGCAAACATCACCGACACACTCCCGCAAACATCACCGTCACACTCCCGCAAACATCACCGTCACACTCCCGCAAACATCACCGACACACTCCAGCAAACATCACCGACACACTCCAGCAAACATCACCGACACACTCCCGCAAACATCACCGACACACTCCCGCAAACATCTCCGACACACTCCCGCAAACATCACCGACACACTCCCGCAAACATCTCCGACACACTCCCGCAAACATCACCGACACACTCCCGCAAACATCACCGACACACTCCCGCAAACATCACCGACACACTCCCGCAAACATCTCCGACACACTCCAGCAAACATCACCGACACACTCCCGCAAACATCTCCGACACACTCCAGCAAACATCACCGTGTGTGTGTGTGTGTGTGTGAGAGAGAGAGAGAGAGAGAGAGAGAGAGAGAGAGAGAGACCTGTGTGGTGAGTGTGAGGCTGGTCTGGGTCGGCACGAGGCTCGCTTGGCTTTGAGGTAGTTGAGTCAGAATATTCTGAGCTTGCAGGAGACCTGAGAACAGGACGGGTCAGAACCATCATTATCATCATCAGTCTAACACACACAGACACACACACACAAACACACACGTACCAGTCTGACCCTGAGGAGACGGAGAGATGATGAACTGAGGCTGGATCTGAGGACTGATGGAGTGACCCGACGGAACCAACACAAACTGCTGCAGGTTCAGGCCCTGAGGAGCCAAACCCTGAGAGAGAGAGAGAGAGAGAGAGAGAGAGGGAGAGAGAGAGAGAGAGAGAGAGAGAGAGAGAGAGAGAGAGAGAGAGAGAGGGAGAGAGAGAGAGAAATATATCCATATTAAAACTATAAAGTAAAATAACTGCTTCTGGCAGACAGTCTATGCATCGATTTACAGTGGAAGAGTGACATCGTGGGCAGACACACTTCTATAGACTTCAAAAAATATACATTCATTCACTGCTATTATAGAGTTTGGAAGAGCCAGGACACTTTTTAATATAACTCTGATTATATTTATCTGAAAGAAGAACATCATATACACCTAGGGTGGCTTTAGGGAGAGTAAATCATGAGCAATTTTTCATCTTTGGGTGAACTATCCCTTTAAGCAGAGGTTCCCAAAGCTTGTCATTCTTCATCTTTCCCATATTTCTGGCGCACACCAAAAATGAACCAAAATAATGTGAGCTCAGATGTGACCCATATGCACAGGGGCCCAGAGACAACAAGTTTGGGAACCTCTGCCTTAAAGCATCCAGCAGAAGAGCGAGTGTCAATGATCTGTCATCCGATTGGACGGGTGAGATGTGAGCCACTCACTGAGGCGATCTGAATGGGCGGGGCCAGAGTGATGGGCGTGGCTGCAGAGGCGGAGATACTGGCTCCACTGGAACTGCTCTGATGACCAGCAGCTGCCATGAGCTGAGCCTGCTGCAGGAACACCTGTGTGTGTGTGTGTGTGTGTGTGAGAGAGAGAGTGAATAAAATACATAAAATATTTAATGAAATAAATTATAACATGATTAAAATAAACCAAATGATTAATAAACGATTTTTTTTAATTAATAACTACATAAAAATACAAAACACTTGAAATCAATAAATCAATACATTAATTTAAAAATTAAGTATGATATGAAATTAAGTATGAAAAATATTTAGATGATAAGATTAATTTGATTCAAATTATTCAAATAATTGAATTATTTTCTAAAATACAAATATATTAAAATAAACTGAATAAAATATATTTGCTTAAAAATTAACAGAATTCAAATAAAAATAAGAAAAGCATACACATAGATAAACACATACAGATAGAATTCAACTAAATGGAATAAAATAAAAACAATATGAAAATAAATAAAATATTGTAAAACTGATCTCGCGTGTAATTAGCGCGACACACTGACCCCGCGTTTGGCGTTCTCGTACCTGCTGGATCAGCGCCTGCGCCTGGGCGTTGCTGACGGCACTCGCTGCCGGTGCGCTCGGCGTCTGTGTGTCCGGCGTGTGTGTTTCCGTCGTGTGTGTGTCCGGCGTGTGTGTGTCGGGACCCTCGGCTGGAGCTGCTGGGAGACGAGAGGGGAACATCTGTCAGAAACAGGGACACACACTCACACACACACACACGCAGATAACCACCTGCACTCACCTGGAAGTCCTCGGCTCTCCATGGCGCTGTGACTCAGATCTGCTGGGCTGGAATCTGTGCGGAGAGCAGACGGGTAACGAGTTAGTGCCGTTCCTTCATTAGACCCAGACCTGGACTATTACACCAGGAGCTCGACTCCACCGACACTGAGCTGATCTGAGGACAGATGAGCCTCGTGTTTGAGGAGCTCGCGTCCCTGGTTCTGTCGTGTTCGACTCCGATGCGAACGATGCTTTAGTTCTGAATCCTTCGAAACTCACTTGCGTCCGACACGACCAAATATGGCAAAGAATATCCAGATCTGAACTGTATTAGACCAGCATCACTTCAGGAGCTCGACTCCACTGATGAGGACAGATCTCGACTGCACTGATTACTCGAAGCAGAATTAGCCTCATAAGTGATGAAGTCGCATCCCTGATTCAGTCCTGCTCTTCGAGTCGATCTGCAGGAATAAAGCGGACTCGGATTCTTAATTCCGTGTGTTCATTAATATCTGAATCTTGTGAACTCACCTGTGTGCGGAGACGCGCGGCGCTAGGACAGAAGGGCTAGCGCTCGAGCGCTGTTCTCCTCGCGAGCGAAACACACACTACAGCTGAAGCGCATCATAACGAGAGCTAATCAGTATTCCGCTGATTAAAGCGTATGCAAATCTCGTCCCCGTCGCTCATTAGACGAGCGCCGCTTTGAAGTTCTGCGAGCGATTCATTTCGTGCGGACCTCTGAAAGCTTTCTGCATAATTCAACATTTTCATAAATATTTATCAGCTCATTTGCATATTAATTGGATAGCTTTTAGGACGTGGGATACGGCGGGCACAACAGCGAGGGAGAAGTGAGACAAGGCCAATTACCAGCTGTGTGTGACTGTTTTAATTACGGGGGGGGCAGGGGGGGGGCTTCCCAGCATGCAACACACACCTCGCGTGAGATGAAAGAATGTGTAGGCTAATGAGCGACGTCTCGAACACCCCGAGTCAAACCGGACCAACTCATTCACCCAAACAACGAGATACCCGGGAGAACTGACCATTAAACCCGAGCCGGAGGGACACTCGTTCACAGCAGGGAGTTACAAAATTAAAATAACAAACTTTTTTTTTTTTTTATTTACTTTTTTTCTTACTAAAAACAAAGGTCAAAATTCTGAGATAAAAAGTTGCATTTTACTTTCTTATATTTGGATTTCACAGCACAAACGAGCTTCCACAAAAACTCATACACATCGAACTCACAGACGAACTGTCATGTGACTTTAACTCAAGCTGTTGCTATGACGACGACCCCACCGAGAGAGAGAGAGAGAGAGAGAGATCTTTATAACTAAAAAGAAAACAGTTGTGAGAAACACGATTTACATACGGCCGCTGCGAGGGCTTCAGTAAGCTAACTGACAGACAATGCATTATGCAAATGTTTTAATTAATAGAATTTTAAATAAGCAATTAATTAGCTTTTCAAACTATTGAACACAGCGCTGCATAATTCCAGGCAGATAAGTGGCATAAAGCACAACGCAGGAGAAATGAAGTATTCATAGAACGGAAACATTTCCACTGAACTGCAGTCCAAACTTTTCTATTAGACTCATTAATATTCATCAGCCTTAATTAACCCATCATCCTGTGTTTGCCAATCATGCGCTCCAAAACATTATATACTGCGACTAAACATCTTCTGTTAAAGTGCTAATGTGTGTGAAAGTGTTTAAGCCTCGGGTGCTCTCGCGTGTCCGTCATAAACGACAGAAACTATTTTTTTTTTATTTCAATGAGATTAATTTACTATATTTTAGTTCAATAATGATTTAATGATATATATATATATATATATATATATAGGGGATTTTATGGTACTAATTTATATTTACACTATTTATAATCCATGTATTCACTTTTTGAGCAGACCTGAAAAATACAATTCAAACGTAAACTGAATGCTTTAGTGGACAGACTGAAGTTAGATCGACACTCAGATTATTGCTGAAGTGAAATAAGTTGAAAAAGTGAATTAAATTTTTTTTACATTTATTATGAAACATGTGCAGAAAACCTTTTTCAATTTATATATAAAAGATGTATTTTTAAAAAAACATGTTTTACTCTAAAACTGTGATAAAATCCTAAAATCATGTGTGTCCCGCATGTGAGCTGATATCCCAGTAAAGAGCGTTTAGTGAGAGTGTGTGTGGCTGCAGTTCCCAACGCTTCCACTCATGTCTGACCGCGACGAGCTCAAGAATGAATATTGTTTTCAGGACCATTAAATTAAAATTGTGTGTGTGTTCACACAGCGAGTGCCAAAATCTTTACCAAGTTTCATACCATTTAAATGATAAAAAAACAACAACAAACAAACACAAAAAACCCAAATGTAAAAATTTTCCGGTGACATGACTGAAGCGCTCCACAGTTTATAACTATATCAGATAGCGAATATCAGAGCAGGATTCTGAATCTTCAGTGTGAACACACTCTTTATACAACAAAGTGGCACTGAAGATGCATTATTATGCGCAATGGGATGATCAAAAACTGCTTTGTGTGGTTTAGCAGACTAGCGATGACAGACGCTTGTGTGTCCATAAAGTTCATCGAAGATCCAGAACCATGTGGATTCTACACTGACTGCATTGTGGGAAAAACTGGAGACCAATTAATATTCAGTGGACACAAGGTGCATACTGATAACAACACCTTGGATGTTCTGCAATGAGCAAAATGCATAAATGTAAATGTAATGTTCCCGAGAGACACAAGAGAAACCGAAATAAGAACAAGGTAAAATCTCACGCACTCTACATCCAAACAAAAATCACACAGCGCGCATTAGCTCCGAGAAATTAATCATTCATGAACACGGCGTTTGTACTCATGAATATTCATGAGTAGCTCTGTATATTTAATCCGCGCGATAAATAAATAGTGCGTCGCGTCTCTCATCTGGAATGAAACTGACGTTTAAATTATGCAGAGGAATGAGCGCATTAAACAAGCAGGGCTGATGTTATTATGCAAATCCACAATTTCACTCCTGCAGGTTTTAACGTGGTTCCTCCCCAGCCACTTTACACGTTATTCGACACGTTTGAGAAAGGGAAACTTTTCAGCACTGTAATTTTATTACCTGTTGGGGAACATAAAATCCCCCCCAACACGCACGCGCACACAGGACCTGTCGGGGTATTTATTTTGCCCTGAGGGCAAACAGTTGATCAGGAGAAGAAACGCTCAGACTCAAGTTTGTCTTTTGCGTTTACTTCGCCGCAACACAAATTAAAGTGATGAATTATTAATTACTCAACATCACGCGTGCGCGTTTACCGCTGAACAAACACATGAATATGCAAATCCGCGGCCGTTGAGTTTCTCTCATGGCCAAACGAGCGACACAAAGCGCGCTAATAGCAGCAGTGCTAATTCTCTCTCACACACACACTCCACAAACATCATCCACAGCGCGTTCCGACCAGTTTAACCCATTTTCACCAGTAAACCCACGCGCCGTGTAAACCACGAGACTGTGAAGATGCAGCACGCGCGCCATTTCAAATGATGAGAGTTGTTTGTGTAGTACTAAACTCTCATCTGCTACTAACCGACTCAAATCATTTCCAAAACAATGAACATTCTTCCCACTGTGATCGATTCTGTCCGCAAACGATCGGCGTGTGTGTTTGACTTTTGTTTACTTGAGGCGGATGGGGGAATATGAATATGTAAAATGTAATAATTACCTGCAGTCGAGCGATCATCTTGAGTCGTTGATCCTCTGTCCGCCATTTTGAATATTTAGTGTGTGAGTGAAACCCCGCCTACTGCTAAAACAAACACACAAACACACACAGATCCATTGACTCGCTGACATAAACTTCAGAACAGCCACATTAATCGCCAGCGCCACTTTTAAAATAGTCAAATTATCCTTATTTATTCACAGCTAACAAACGTTCCATCAAGGTTCTCTCACGTTATGTTCTTCCAGTAACATTACTAGGCCTATATTCAAAGTTATTACAAAACATAATTTATTCTATAGAACTTTTTTTTTCCTGAAACATTTTATTTGGACGTTCGTCTAGCGGGTTTTAATGTAACTTGTTAGGCTAAATGATGACTGAATTAAATGTTTTGGAAAACTAGCTATTCCTTTGATCTTTCAAGAATAATAAAATGGAATGCTCCTTAATAACCAAGAGAAAACGTAAAACATCCCACTAATCAAGAGTCACTAATGAAGGAATTTGAACTGGAACAACACTTCATAAATCTCATTTGCTATTCATTCAATTCAATTCAGTTCAATTCAATTCCCATTTATTTTTGTACAGTGCTTTTCACAATACACATCGTTTAAAGCAGCTTTACAGAAAATGCAGAGTCCACAATTTAGAGTGATCTGTTATCAGAGGAAACTGTCTAAATTATGTATTTCAGACAGTTAGCTAAAAATGTGTTCATTTAAACAATGTAATAATTTAAGGCAGAAACAATGAGCTCTGTTTGAGTGTGAATACTTGTTTGTGAACAAATGATTATGACATTTAGAAAAAATAGTAGTTAGCTAAGGTTTAGCTAAGCGTTAGCTAAGGTTACCTTTTTCCATTTTTTATGTTTCATGAAATGATTTGTGCTTCACAGTCGTTTTACTGTTGAGTTATTGAGTTTTGCAGTTTCACATTGTAACAATTTCAATGTGTTTAATGAACAAAAATAAAGGTACTGGCATCAATGTTTTTATAAGCTATAAGCCAATAGTCTTATATATTTATAAGCTAATAAGCTTATTGTTGTTGTTGTTTTCACATTTAAAAAACATTGATGCCAGAACCTTTATTTGTGTAATTTAATCTGATGTTTATATGCTCTTAACTTTGGAAGGTTCATAACAAAACCTGAACACAAAAGAGAATTTTGAATAATGAAGGCTGTGATGCTATTCGGTACACACTTGATTCTTTATATACAGTACAGACTGAAGGTTGATGTCAAACAAGCTTTCATACTGTCTCATACTGAACAGTTTTGTCTTCACGAATGGAAGCCTGTCACTTTACGCATATGAAACTCTTATTTTATTAACTATTTTTTATTGTGAACGTGTGACTTTGACTCCTCCTGTTTCCTCCAAGCGGAAAGAACTTCATCATCCTCCATTTCTTGGGCCACCCTTGCTCTCGCCCTCTGCTTTATCTGAGCAATATAAGCCGTCATCTCGTCATCGTCCTCCTCTTCCCGTCCCGGTTTACCCGTCTCACTGTTCTCGTGTAACTTCTGCTTTGCGGAGTGGCTCTGGTAGCCGCTTCTCTCCTCGTCCTCGGATCCAGCATAAGATCTCCTGGTTCTGTGATTAGCAGCTTCACTCAAGCCGTTATACGAAGGCGGAGATCTCCGAGATCCATCGCTAAACTCCGGACTGGGATCGTGACTCGAGGACATGTCAGCACCAGCCCAATGCCTGGATGCGAATCTAGAGGAAAAGCTATACTCCTCTTCTTCTGCTTCCACTGACACCGAGCTCCTTCGGCTCGGGAAGTCGAACTCCAAGGGTTCCACGATCCCGGCGTACGCCGGCCGAGACATTCGCACCGGCTCGGCGTCTCCATCATAAGGCTTCGGTTTGCTCGGAGGAGGTCTTACGTTTTTGAGCCACTCATCAATACTGCTGTTGCTGGTGGGATTCCTGGCTGAAGCCGGGAGGTTCAGGATCCCTGAACGGCCGTAATCTCTTTGAGGTTTGGGTTTCTGAGAAGAACGCGCTGCCAAATCCTCAAATCCATTGGATTTTGTAAGATCGGCTTCATCTTCATCGTCATCCTTTGCTTTTTTCTTCTTGTATAATGTACTTCGCTTGTTGTCCTCTGCGATCTTCCTCACCTCGTAGGACGCCATCTTGTCCCGCATGTCAGACTTGATTTCTTTCTCCATGGTGTCCAGTTTGTGAAGGTTCACCTGGTCTTGGAAGAGACTGTATAGTGGGACACTGGTCGTAGTGATCTTGCTCCTGCGTGATCCCAACCCGGACACCGAGGAGAGGTTCGATGAAAGCACGGATTCGGCTCTCCCGCCAAACCGCACGGATTCGGCTCGACTCTGGGAGAGAACGCTGAAAGACGTGGATCCGCTCAACACTGAGGCTTTCTCGTCGTCTGCTCCTCGTGCCGAGACTCCCAGACTGAACACCGATCCTGCTCGGGAAGGGCCGAGACTCGCTCCCATCATCATCTCTGTTTGCTTCTGCACGAGAGTCTCATTGACCACGTTGGCTATCCAGTTTTGGATGTTGGCGAGGTTCACCATGGGCTCTCCGTTCGGACCCATGACCGGAGCTGGAGGCTCTTGGGGAACTGGGATCTGGGATCGAGTGCTACGCCCTGACAGGACCGAGGATCTTCCGCTCAGCACCGATGCGCTATCGTCTGCTATCGGAAAGGCTCCGGCACAGAAGGCGGACAGAGGGATCACGCTCCCGACACTCTCGGTTTCCCATCCGCACACCGACTGGCTCTCCTCGAGTGTTTTCCGTGTGCGCTCCAGAAGCTCCTCTCTGCGCTGGCGTCTCTTAACCGTGGCCGTGTCCTCCCCCCGACTCATCTCCACAATCTCATCCTTGTTCTCTTCCCCGCCAAACTTCTTCTGCTGCTTGAGTTTCCAGGTCTGATATGCGGTTAAGTTGACGTCCTCCAATGAGGGAGCGGGCGCTTCCGTCTCAGGCTCCGTTTGCTCCCCGTTATCCGCCTCTTTTTTGTTCCATCCGAACTGAATTCGCTTAACCTTCCATCTTTCCAGGGGTGTCAGATTTCCTTTGTTCTTTTTGCAGAAGTTGTACATGGAGCTGCTGTCGGAGAGTATGCTCTCCACATCGTCGTCGATCTTCTTCTGGCTGGCTTCGCTTGTGGTGTCCTCGTCGGCCTCTCGGAGCCGGTACCGAGCGGCGGCCTGCTCCTCGATCTCCTTCACTCGCTGCTTCCAGAGATCCGCGTAACTGCTGGTTGTGGATCCCGATTCTGAAGCGGGTCGACGGGGACGGCGTCGGATGTGTTCTTTCAGCATTCGCACGTCTTCGCTGGTCACACTCTCCAGGTCCTCTGGTCGCTTTCTCTCGGCCAGAGACCCGTCGTCCTCCCTGTCGCACAGAAGTTGGGCTTCCCACCAGTCCTCGTTTTGGTACTTCTCGTTTCGCTTCTGCCACTCCCTAATCATGCCGTCCACATCCCCATCTTCATCATCACAGTCTTTCCCAGGGAGCGACGAGTCCTGGGTGGTTTCCTCCGTCTCGGGTTCGTTTGGACCGTTGAGAAGTCGTGCTCTTAGCGCAGCAGCTGAAGAAGCCACACTACTCATCACACTCCCACCGTCCTCCTCTTCCTCCATCATGATAGAGTCCGCTTTAACCCCGAACATGCTCTCCTCCTCGTCGAGACGAGCCCGCGTGTCAATGACTGAGCACTGGCTGAGGGTGTCGTCGTCGTCGTCTCGCTCCTCCATTAGAGTCTCGTTGAGTTGGCGGAGTTGCTTTATGAAGCCTTCGTTGGGGTTGATGGCCCGTTTCTTCCTGATCTCCAGCAGCGCCTCCATGATGCTCATGTTCTGGAAGATCATGAGATAAGCAGCGACGAGAACAGCTGACCGGCTCACGCCCATCATCGAGACCACGAGCACCTTGCCTACATGAAGGGGAATAAAAGAAAATCGTCATCATATTTGAGCAATTTCATCAGATTTGTCACACACATACATTCAAACCTGCATACCTATAGACTAGACATGTAATATGCATGTGCGTTTTTGAGGTTTGCGCAGAGATAACCTTTTTTCAAACAAATTCCACGCTTGGAATCTGTTTCAGGGTTTGCGTTCTCAAGCCAACAGGCACTGTTATCGTGCGGATGAGCGTGTTAAGGGTTTTCTGTTAGAACGGTGTAGTGTTAAGTTAATTACTAATGATCTGTGCAACGGAAGTGAATTAATCAAAACTAACTTTAGCTGGACGGTAAGCTGGTGACTTGACTTGACTTGACTTGACACACATTAGCCGCATTTCCACTGTCGCTTTCGGGGCTTGATCGGGCCTCGTCAGGGCTTCTTCGGGGCCAGAAAACCTTGGTCCAAACCAGGTCGACTCAGGCTTGAGGAGTGTTTACCAACAGAGGAGTTTACCTGAGTCTGGAGATGACAGCGCTGTTTGTGATCCGATGAGGATTCTGATCACCATTTAAGGCTGAAATATTTATCCGCCATGCAAAAGACTATCTCTGCTAACATTACCATAGTAAACATGGTAAATGTGACCACTTGAAGGAATCAGACCAATCACAGGCGATCACAATCATGTATTTATTTTATCTGTCAGTACATCTCGTGTCCTTATACTGGACTATCTGATATTCATATTTAGCTCCGTATATGTCATAAAATAAACAAGTCTGATTCTTTTGGGAGCTTCCTATGTTTCCCTGACTAATAAAATGCCACTTTATTTCAGTGTGACTAATGTGCGATCAATCTCGCTAGTTTTCAGTGATTTCTTTCCAATTAGTTTTCAGATAAAACATCCATTTGTTGATGAAATGATGTGTTTGTGTGACGTTGTTCCAGTGAGGCGTGTTTTACTGAAGCCCTGCTCGCAGAGTGGTTTTGGGCTCGGTGCTCCTTGTCCAACACCATTAGCCCTGCCCGACTGGTTTAAAGCCCGGCTCGCACTGGCCCGACAGTGGAAACGCAGAGTGGTTTTGGGCTCAGAGCTCCTGGTCCAAGGCTATTAGCCCCGCCCGACCCGTTTAAAGCCCGGCTCGCACTGGCCCGAGAGTGGAAACGCAGAGTGGTTTTGGGCTCAGAGCTCCTGGTCCTAAGCTATTAGCCCCGCCCGACCCGTTTAAAGGCCAGCTCGCACTGGCACAACAGTAGAAACACGGCAATTGAAAATGTAAGCTGCCATGTTAAGCCCCCAACAGAGCCTGTCTTCTCATTTCTCATTAATATTAATGAAGTCAGTCATGTGACTGGGTGCTCTGGATTATCAAGCTACATCATGACCTAATTAATATACATGAGCCAAGCTTTCATAAATTTTCTCCCAGAGCCTGATGTCAGGAGCAAAATGAGAAGATAGATTACTCATACAGAACAATCAATGGCAGAACAACCTTGTTCAAAGGGGAGAGAAATTCTGAACCACATTCAGATCTGATGTGCAATAAATAATAAAAGTCCTCAACTTTAAAATGCAAATCTATAACGTTATATTGATTGTTCACCCAAAAACGCCAAAACTGTCTCCATTTAATCACCCTCCAATTGTGAAGCACATGGATGATGAGCGACTACAGTCCCTCACTGTCACCGCAGGGGAAGGAGGACTCAGGTCGTCATTCTCCAGCGTTCTGCTGAATATGCTCTTTTGGGTTCAGCAGAAGAAATTAAGGTCACGAGGGTCAGTAAATGATGACAGAAAGATGGACTTACAAACGAGGACCAGTGATGTCAAGAACCATTTCTCCTCAAGAACTTTTCAGTGATCAGTTAAAGTGATCAGTTCTTAAAAGAAGAATTTTGTCTTAGTTTGAAGAACATTTAAATAATGTAAAGAACCTTTTGTGGAATGGAAAAATTCTGTGGATGTTGAAGGTTCTTCATGGAACCATCGAAAGGGCCGTTATAGGGCGTGATCTTGGTTCTGGCGTGTTCTCCTGACTCAGATTTTGAAGAGGTTCTTGTATATCTGCGTCACTAACTCTAAAAATAAGCGCGTGAGACACGACAGAGTCCAGGCCGGTGAGTTAATCTGGTATCTTCGGTTTGTTATCTATGACAGGAACGGTGTGTTACAGCCTAACCCTAACACTTTACAATAAGGTTCATTAGTTAATATTAGTTAATGAATGGACTAACATGATTTTTACAGTATTTATTAATCTTTGTTAATGTTAGTTAATAAAAAATCCAGCTGTTTGTTGTCAGTTCATGTTAGTTCACCGTGCACTAACTAATGTTAACTAATACAACCTTTGACTTTAATAATGTTTACGTAAACGTTGAAATTAATTTTAATTTGGATGGATGAATAAATGCTGCAGATGTATTGTTCATTCCTAGTTCATGTTAACTAATGAACCTCATTGTACAGTGTTACCAAACGTTTTTGTAGAAAAACAAATAATATTAACCTTGGACATAATAAGGACTAAAAAGGCCGTAATCTACACTGACCCCTGTGTGTCAGCAAAGCGTCGTCCAGAAACTCGGCGCAGGAGCGGAAGTGTGGAGAGATGTCGGCCTCGGGGAAGTCGTCCACCTCGATGCCCAGATAGGTGATGTCCATGCCCTGGTAGAAGAGCTCGCCGGTGTAGACGCCGGTGCCGTGACCCGCATTCACCACGTGAGTGATGCCGAGACGTTTGAGACGGGCTTTATTCACAGCCACCGACCTGAAGCAGAGAACGGGCAAACACATCAGCCTGGCATTCACTACAGGAACGACTTTACACTGAGAAACTGCATGTTCCTGTAAAAACACATTACAAGAATGATGTGGGTTGAGGCCAAATTGTGGCAGAATGTCGATTACCTGTGCTTTCATTGTAAAGATTTTATAAAGGATTTGGTTATACTTTATTTTAAGGTGTCATTGCTAAAGTGTAATTATATATTTGAAGGATTAGTTCCCCCAAAATTCTAATTATCCCATGATTAAGTCCCCCAGACGAATACAATCAGAGTTATATTAAAAAGTGTCCTGACTCTTTCAAGCTTTATATCGGCAGTGAATGGAGTTTTCTGTTTTGAAGTCCATAAAAGTGCATCTATCATCATAAAAGTGCATCTGTCTTAATAAAAGTGCATCTGTCCATCATAAAAGTGCATCTATCATCATAAAAGTGCATTTATACATGATAAAAGTGTATCTGTCCATCATAAAAGTGCATCTGTCCATCATAAAAGTGCATCTATCATCATAAAAGTTCATCTATCCATCATAAAAGTGCATCTATCCATCATAAAAGTGCATCTGTCCATCATAAAAGTGCATCTGTCTTAATAAAAGTGCATCTGTCCATCATAAAAGTGCATCTGTCCATCATAAAAGTGCATCTGTCCATCATAAAAGTGCATCTGTCTTAATAAAAGTGCATCTGTCCATCATAAAAGTGCATCTGTCTTAATAAAAGTGCATCTGTCCATCATAAAAGTGCATCTATCCATCATAAAAGTGCATCTGTCTTAATAAAAGTGCATCTGTCCATCATAAAAGTTCATCTATCCATCATAAAAGTGCATCTGTCCATCATAAAAGTTCATCTATCCATCATAAAAGTGCATCTGTCCATCATAAAAGTGCATCTGTCCATCATAAAAGTGCATCTATCATCATAAAGTTCATCTTTTTATTTTCTGTGGTAACTGGCATTGTGAGAACCTGTCAGTAAAGTTTTCAACCCATAATATGAGTGTGTGAACCCAGACATCTCAGATCCGGCCCACATCTGGCACATGTGGAATCAGCCGCATCTGGGCCGGGTCTGGGCTGTCTGGGTTCACACACTCATATTTCCTGACTGTCCTGGGCCGGGTCTGGGCCGGGTCTGCTGTGTGTGAAGGACAGGACCCGTGAGACTCACTTCTCTGCGATGTAGACGTTGGGCCAGACCTCGTCCACGGGGTTGAACGGCGCCTCGAGCCGGTCCTGGATCAGCGCCCGCTGGATGTCCAGCACACACGGCGTGTTGTAGGGGCTGCGGTCGTCCATCATGTCCTTCACACGGTTATACAGGTCCTCCACCATCAGCTGCTCCGCGGACTCCAGCCTGAGGTCAGAGGTCACTGGCGTCCTCGCGACTCGTGACTCCAGCTCTGAGGACAGACGAGAGACCCGAGAACTCAGAACCGTCATTTCTACAGAGATTTCCACGACTGCGATCTCCTTCAATACTTTAGTTCAGTTCTCGCGCATGCGTCGTGGAAATCTCTCGAACTCTCGTCTCAGGCCCACAAGGAAGAAAAGGAATAGTCAAATAAAGTCGTTATTTTTGTTTGTTTTTTCGCTAAAAAAGTATTCTCATCGCTTGATAAACATATAGTTGAGCCACTGTGGTCACATGGGATATTTAAACATTTTCTTCAGTGACTTTCTGGCCCGTCAAGAGCCAGTCCCTTAGTTTGAGCCTATCTAGGACTGATCCAGCTCTCAGATTTAATTAAAAATATCTTCATTTGAGTTCAGAAGAGGAACGAAGGTCTGACGGGGTTGATACAGCATGGGGGTGAGTAATTAATGACTTAATTTTAATTTTTGTGTGAACTAACCCTTTAATACAAGCATCATCGGTAATGTCCCACACACACAGTAATGATGAGAACTAAACCTGTCCTGAATAATGACGCTTTACAGCAGAATCTGAACTATTCTGAGTTTTCTGGGCGATCATGTGAGTTTTCTGTGTTATGACGTGAGTTTTCTGCACCTTCGCTGATGATCTTCTTGGCTGCGATGGCTGATGACAGATGAATGGGTTCCATGAAGATGCTTTCTGCTTCTGATCCCGAGATCACGGAGAACCGGTCCGAAACCGTGGAGAAGCGATCGGACATCATGGAGAAACTGCAGGACAGCAAACACACACACATGTCGTCAGGCTGTGGAAAGTGTGTGTAGCTGATATTTACCAGTGTTTCGTGTGTGTGTGTGTGTGTGTGTGTGTGTGTGTGTGTGTGAACCTGGGAGAAGGACAGCGCAAGTAATGCGACTGAACTTGTTTAACACTCGTCTCTTCATCCTGATCCTCCACAGCACTGATGCTCTCAGCCGACGACGCCATCACACTACACACACACACACACACACACACACACACACACACACACACAGTATCAAAGAGAGAGAGAGAACATTGTGATACACAGTCATGAAAATGAAGCTCGTTTGAAACTGAGTTGAGACAGACTGTGAATGTGGATTTCAATAGATACAGAAAAATATTATATCATACCTTAGCAATAATATAACAACAATAATTATAGTAAACATTAGTTAATGTATTAGGATTCTAGCTTTGTGTTTGTTCACAGTGCTAACGTTACACCGGAGCCGGTGCCGAGTCAGTCCAGGGTTATTACTAAACTACAGTCAAACACACCGATTAAACACACAACATGACACACATCTGACAACAACATACTGACCAGGCCTGTGTGTGTGTGTGTGTGTGTGTGTGTGTGTGTGTGTGTGTGTGTGTGAGAGAGAGAGACAGACAGAATGAGTGTCTATATATAGTGTGTGACAGCTGCAGAGATTCTTCTGGAACAGGGAGGTCACACACACACACACACACGAACACGCAAACACACACACACACAAACAAACACAGAAACACACACACACACGACAGTGTAAGTGTGTAGAAAGAGCTACAGAACAGTATCTGATACTTGTTTGTCTGTATGATGAAGAGTTGATGAAGTTTCTGCTGACCTGAGAGAGTCTGAGTCTGCGTCTCCAGCGGCGAGGTCTGCGAGTGTGTGTGTGTGTGTGTGTGTGACTAAACTTAGAGGCTCCTCACACCCCCAACGGCCCCCTGTGACATCATCAGAGTCTGGCGGCCCCGGGGCCCTTAAAGGGCCGGAACGTTTATCATGACGACCTCCATGATAGTTCCCTGATGACTTCAACATTATTCAGACTAATCCATCTATCTATCTATCTATCTATCTATCTATCTATCTATCTATCTATCTATCTATCTATCTATCTATCTATCTATCTATCTATCTATCTATCTATCTATCTATCTATCTATCTATCTATCTATCTATCAGCTCAGTAATTTTCAGCGTATCTAGTAGTGCAGTAATATATAATACTGTAATAATAAAAATGTAGTAATGCAGATTTTATCGCTGAGACACAAGATGGCGCCAGTCACCCGCCGTAACTCGGAGCTTCTCGTTTCTGTGTTTAAATCTCCTTCATTTTTTAGTGTTTGTGTAAATCAGAGAGAGCACGGATATATATAGACATCAAAGCAGTTTCGGTATGTAGATATAAACTATTGTAAAGTATAATCCTCAGTCCTCACACTATTAATAACCCCAGTAACCGCAAAGGGCTTGACGCATGCGCACACAAACATAACTGACTGTTGAATCTTTGAGTGAGGCCCATACACACTTTCATTTCTAATATTCTGCAGAAATCATTCATCTACACGTATGTATTATATGTTTGGACAAATGTTTTTATATTTCTATTCGTTTATTTAGCCTAACGGGTTGTTTAGCTGTAGGTCTACTGTCTATATTTGATGTTTTTTGACTCGTCTTTATGTTAAACATAAAATAATCACGCATATAGGCTATATTCCTCCTTCTTTCTAGACTACAAGCATGCAACTCTTCCTTAAACACCAGCATAACCTGCAATAACCTAAACCAGTTTAACCAGTGAACCACCACTGAAGCTCATGAACGCACGGACACACCGATAACACACACCGATGACACACACCGATGACACACACCGATGACACACACTCTTTCTTGTGATCTTGTGACCCTAACCCTCACATTAATTTCCTCAGCCCGAGAGAGAGAGAGAGAGAGAGAGAGAGAGAGAGAGAGAGAGAGAGAGAGAGAGAGAGAGAGCGAGAGCGTGTGTGTGTGTGTGTGTGTGTGTGTGTGTGTGTGTGTGTGTGTGTGTGTGAAAGATCTCGATCAAAGCCGCCAGGCAGAAGGCCAGCCCGAGACCTTTAGCCAGACAGCGTAGCGGCTAATGCTAACGATGGACGAGGAGACCAGAGCCGTTTAGTTAATGGATGTCCACGGAGAAGACGATTATTTATTATGATAAAAAGGTTATTTTATAAGAGACGACTGAGTAGGGAATGTCATTTTGAGATAACTTTAAAAAAATATTTCTATCAGTGTAAATGTGGGTTTTGGACGGATAGTGTGAGCTAACCCTCTGAAGATCATTCTCTGTGTTTTTCAGAGAAAGGTTTATTTGTTAATTCATGTCTCAGAGAGCGAGATGCACATATCAGACTTTAATGTTCCCACAGAATTACTGCATTAGATGTGTTTTACATTATTACATTATAATATGTTTTACAGCAGGTGTCACTCTTGTAAAGTGTTTCCCATTAATCTATATCATCTAATTAACGTGTGGATCTTCTTTAGCCTGAAGCAGAATAATATGTCACTAGTATTTTTTTTCATTCACAGACTAAAATAATTGTTTTGTTTTTGCTCATTTCAGTCAATTATATTTCTTTCTTTTTTTTTATCATTTGAGGTGATTATCTTTCAATTTCAGAAATTGTTCCTTTTAGCTATTGTGTTTTCAGGGTTCTGCTCATGGAGGTTTGTGGCGCTCGCCTTGAAGATCTAAACATGTCTCATCAACTTCCTAAAATGAGGTTTATTAAAGGCTCATGAAACCCCAAACTAAATTTTCTGAGATTATAACAGAGGTATGTGTGTTGAACACCATTGAAGACAATGTTAGCATCTGTTAGATTTAATAATAGGGTTAAAATGGTTAAATTTGAGTTTTTTCCCGCTTTTTTCGTCTTCCGGGTTTAAAATCTTCATCGTAGCGGGTGACGTGGCAGTGCCCTGCACAGTGCGTTGATGACTCATCGGTGTTATCCTATGAGAAGACACGGCCTCTTAATTATTCATGACACCACGTGGATCTTTCCAACGACAGACATGACAAACTGTGATATCGCGTAGTAACGTTAGATGAGAGAGGCAATCATGGGACGCAAACTATTTGTTTTCATGGTGCAAAGTCCGAGTGCGTTGAATATGTTCCCGCGATGCTGCCAGGGCTCGACTCTGGCACTGGACGGTTTGCCATCAAACACGGACACGTCTAAACCTGACCCATTGTGTGTGTCGCGAACATTTTCGCGAGAGAGCTGCGACAAGTGGAGAATGATGGACTTCGACTTATCCAAGTTGCGTCTTCCGAGTGATGCGGTATCCCGAGGACTTTCTATCCCTTCAGAGGTGTGTGTGTGTGTGTGTGTGTGTGTGTAAAATGAGAAGTCATTTATTATGAGGGTTCAGAGGGCGCGTAGACACTTTACTGTCTATGATATGCACGGAACGATTTTTTTAAGCGGAAAATTAATAATTTTTTTCTGAAATGTATTTATAGTGTCTATATAAACCACTATATATTTTATTATGACATTATAAATATACATGTAGCCTACATTAAAATGTTTTAATTAGAATTACAATTACTGTAGGCTAATATTTGTAGTTGGACATTCAGTTACTTTTGAAAGGACGATAATAAAGTGTCGGTGACGTGTACTTCATAAGACTTTAACTTTGCCAGCTATATAAAAATCTAGCATTTCCTCACGTTTTACCATTGATTTTTTAGTGACAGTCGCAATCATAGACTGTCAAAAAAGATGGACGACGCCCCTCCGCTCTTTTCCACCCATAGACATATACAGGTCGCAACGCATGGGACAGTGACATGGTCCTACAACACACACTCCCTCCCTTCTTCTCTCAGCTAGCCACGCCCATTTCAGTTGCATTTTTCAAAAATATTTTGAGCTAGACTTGAGCTGAAAGAGAGGGGTTTCATGACCCTTTAATGTAGTTTATTAGCAATGCAACTCGACTCGCACACACACACACACTCAAGCTCGCTCAGACATTAAACAAGATTTTGAATTTATTTGTGAATAACTTTTGCACTTTTATGATGGATAGATTCACTTTTATGGACTTTAAAACATTCACTGCCATTATAAAGCTTGTAAGAGTCAGGATATTTTTTTAATATAACTCTGATTGTATTTGAGAAGTCTGCAAGAGTGTCATTCTGCTTCTCCAGTAAATGCATCTTGATTTAAGAGTGTTAGATGTGTGTGAGGAAGAGCACGATTGACGGGTTGAAGGATGCGTTTCTGTGTCCTTCACACTGACAGTGATTGGCTGCACTTTAGTGACGGCTGCTTCCCATTGGTAGATGTTACATCACGGCTCATTTGCATAAAGTCCGTGTGAAAGTTCTGCATGATGTTCTCAGGGATGTCTCCTTTCCTGCAGCTGAATGCATGTTCAGGTTATTACAGCCACATTCATTTTTGAAGAGGTGTTGGTGAATGATTTATCATCTGTCTCATTTATTCATCAGGAATGTTAACTATGGGAACGTGTTTAATGGAGTGTTTGCTTTGGCTTTTTTTTTTTTTCTGTTTTATGTGAAGGCGAAAGTACGGAAACCCATCCTTGGAATTTGTCCGCATTTAACTTTCGCACATTTGATTTCTTTATTTGAAACAGCCCATCAAATTTCTTACAGAAAGGATTCAGATATTCTCAGAGATAACACAGCTTTGACATCAAGGGTCGCTTACGCCACACAGCAGGCCTGAGGATCACTGCCCATGTGGAGAACAGGTTTACCAGACCTGCCAGAGTCCATTAACCGTCAGTGTGATGAAGTCTTCATCTGAATACACCCTGCCGGCCAGCGAATGACAGCTTAAATAATGAAACATAAAAACTTATGACAAATGTAGGCTATTATATATGGCTAGCAGCATGTCAAACACTGTAGCCTTACTCCTGCTCATCCACTCCAGACTCGAGCCGTGGAGACGATCTGGGCTGTGATGTAGGATACATACTAATAAGTGTACGATAGTATGCATTCAATGTAACTGTAACTGTAAGTAATAAGTAGATGCAGTGCAACATTAAGGATGTATTCATCTTCTCATATCATATCAAATCTCATTTTTCTCATTTTTATTCTATAAACTTTATTCTGTTCACTTTATGTCTTCACATTTATATCACCAGATTACTGTAATGTCAGAACGATGACATCTATTTCAAAACAGCATTCTCTTTCATTTAATTATTATGTGTTTATTATGAGTTCGATCATGCATGGAGAGGTGACATGCAATATTTGTGAAATATTCATTCGGCTCTACATTTAGAAAATAAATGAATGTGAAATGTTCCGATGAGAGAAGTGAACACTGACCGATTCAGATTATGAAATTATATATTTGAGCCAGAAATATTAAAGGGATAGTTCGTCACAAATGATAATTCACGTCCTTCCAAACCTGAGCAGGCCGAGGATATAATAAACTATAATAAACATAAGCACTGCGATATTCCATAAAAACATGAATTTCATTTTGATTTCATGGTGACTTAAAAGGGATACTCCACTTTTTTTGGAAATAGGCTCATTTTACGACTCCCCCAGAGTTTAACAGTCCAGGTTTACCGTTTTCGAATCCATTCAGCCGATTTTCTGATGTATAGAAGAATATCGGTAACCAGACAGGTTACTACTTCCATAGTATATTTTTTCCTTGTTTTCCTACTACGGAAGTCAATGAGACCACAAACTGTCTGGTTACTGATATTCTTCGGCTGAATGGATTGGAAAACGGTAAAGCTGGACTGTTTAACTCTGGGCGAGCGGTAAAATGAGCCTATTTCCCAAAAAACTGGAGGATCCCTTTAAAGGAAAAGCAGCAACAATACAATAACATGTCCATTATGGGTCAAAGAAATGTTATATAACCCGGAAAATCTGACTTACTGTGGACTAAATATAAAGTAATGCTCTTGCTACAATATTAAAGGACAGTCATATGGCAGAGGAGGTGTGTGTGTGTGTGTGTGTGTGTGTGTGTGTCGGGGCTTAGAGGAGACAGAGTCTATCGGTCGTAGTTTAATCTGTGAGACGCGAGTAACTTCACACACACACACACACACACACACTCTTCCTCCTCTTACACACACACTCTTTCCGCTCTTACACTCACAGTTTTCTCCTACACACACACACACTTCCTCCTCTCCCTCTTATATTGTTTCCATCTATTATTGGTATCAACATTCAGTGCTCATCGTGAGTGTGTTTCACCTCGAGCAGACGTGTGTTGTGTTTTTTGTGTGTGTGTGTGTGTTATGTTGGTTTGGTCACATGATTAGAGATAAGTGTGAATGTTGAGTGATTGTGTGTAACGGTGAGTGTTGCAGTTGGGTTTATCTTTCGCCGGCTTGTGTTTAACGTTTGGAAACAGACGTGCATCACAGTGTTTGTGTGTGTGTGTGTGTGTGTGTAGAGTTTTGCAGAAAGAGTGTTTTACTGCCTGGACTTCTTTCATATTTTGCAGAAATAGAGATTCATTCGACAGATTGGTTTCGGCTATTGAGATTTTGGGGTTCAGTGTTTTAGCAATTCAGAAAAACTCGAATCTATTTTTTTAAATAACCCATTATAAGGAAAGTATTTTGCAATAATTGATTTCATTTCTCCTTTTAGAGAACCTTGAAGGATTCTTTACCCTAGAGCTGTACAGAACACACTGGGCCTGTTTGATTGACAGGTGTCTCACACACACACACACACACACACACACACACTGATACTTTGTAAATTGTCAAATGTTTAGAGACACATTATATCTGCATCGCCTGCAATGATGAAGAGGAGCATCTCTGAGTTTTAACTGAGCTGATGTATTGATGTGAACGCAGATTCTGATCTCAGATCAGAGATTTCACGTTAGTGTATTTCTGGCGTTCTTCGTCAGGCGAAAACACGGCTACATCAGAGACGGTGTGTGTGAGGAAGAGGAGTGTTTCTTCCGTTGATGTGGTTTCTTATCAGAATCTCCCAGACGCTCTTCTCAGTGTGTGTGACCGTTTCATGACAGACTTTCATTTGTGTTCTTGGTGTTCTTGGTAATTAATCGTTAAATGCAGATGCAGATGCAGATGATGTGTGTGAAGGTCACGGGTGACGAGTGTGACCTTCATCATCAGTAGATCAGACCGGTTCATGTCAGGATCTGTCCAGGTTTCTGTGATGCTCACGTTCATGAACACGAGTGTTTTCTTCCTGAAGTGCAGCTGGTCAAACGCTTGTCATGTCTGGTTTAGTCACAGTGTGTGTGTGTGTGTGTGTTTCAGAGATAATCTCTCCTCATCGTTCTGCATGAGCGCTCGAGAGCGTTGATCATTACAGGTTATTTTAAACCTGCTGATCTGATGAGCTTCTGCTTTAAATCACAGCGTTTCAACAAGACTGAGGTGTGAGTTATGAATTATGAATCATAAATCCCTTTCTGTGGACTTCTGTCCTCTGCAGTAATGCATCTGAATCTGAACAGAGCAAAATTCACTCACATACTCAAATAATCTACATTACTACAACTATAACTACATTAAAATATCATTCCAATAAGTTTTTAGAGCTAAAACCTAAAGATGAGGTGACTTTGCTGTCTCCTGGTGTCTTACAGTATTTTGGCTTATTTTAGTGTAATGCTCTAAATTACAGTTTTTGCCGTTCATTTCTATGGGTGCCCATTTTTGACCCAAATACAAGATTAAGGAGTTGGTTTTTTTTCACCCACTTAACATTGTAGAATTGAGTAAAAAAATGTGTGTGTTCAGGAGGCAAAAGTAGCCAAGTCTTGTACCGCTCAGTTTAAAAATAAATCAAAACTAATTTGTAATCAGCAAACGCTTCAGAATGATATTAGATGATGTAGTTTCAGCTCTTTCTGCTCCACAATGCCTTCAGTAAAACACATTTCAGCAGTTCGGGAGATGTTTTCTGTTTATCTCAATTCGCTCCAATTATATAATAAAATCCATCTGATTCAGTTCCTCATTTGTCCTCAGTTCAGGTATTGATCATCAATACTCCACCAATGTACAGTTACAGTGGAGAACCAGCTATGCTTTCTGCTATTTCTTGGGGTCAGATTATTTATGTAACTTATTCAGATTATTTATAAACTCTTATAGTCGACAGGCAGCATTCGGTTCATGAAGGAGTATCACACACAAAATTAAAAAAATAGTCAAAAGAAAAAGAGTTAAGTGTAAAAATACCATAAAGAAAACAGAACAGCTCAATCTTTAAATCTTTGTTGTGATTCTTGTCACTCTGAATGTAAGAATATGATTTCAGAACAGAATTCACAAACGCAATACGACTGGAACACAACATGTTTGAAACTGGGAGAGAAAATAAGTAGCTAGTGAATAGTGAAGCTTGTGACAACTAGCCCCGGTGTGCGCGGGCACGTGTCAGAGCCTGAATCACGAATCAAGCCAGAATCATGTTCACTCCATCTTTCCTGTGCTCGAATAGTCCAGTCTAAATACAGAGGATCTGCTGTGAAACGCGTCGCGTCGCATCCGAGTCTCGCGTCGAAACATCCCCATGGCTGTGGAAACGCGCGCGCGCCGGGATGATGACGCGCGATCAGGAGGAGCGATCAGAAGTGCAACGGCTCAGAAGCGGCTCAGATCTGGACCAGCAGCATCGGAACCTGAAGAGCCCGAGCCGGACCGTGCGATCTCTGCGCCGTCGGTGTCGCTCGCGGTTCTGGAGGATCGCGGATTCGAGGCAAACCAGGATCGTGTTCCAGGATCTATAAGCAGGTACAGGCACTCTTTCCTAGAAATGAGCTTTGACATTTGAAGAAAAGCCGAGGCACTTCATGCGCTTGGTGACACATGTCTGCGTTTATTTATTTAGATTGATTATCGTATAATAAATTGATGTTCGATACTTTTTGTTGCACTTGAACGGATATTCTATATAGCCTACAATTGAGAGGATTTGTCCTTGTTTTCTGATCGACAGAACTGGTGTAGCTGTTAATCCAAAATAAATATAATATCTGGTAATTGTTGTGGGCACAGTGTGAAATAATTAATATAGGCTACATATAATAAAACAATAAACCCCTCATGTTTATTTTTGGATCTGAACGGCTCGAGCTTCGGTCGATCTCTCTCTTTACATTTCCTTATGTTTTTTGTTTATTGAAATAATGCGTCATCTGATAACGTATTTAATATGTTACCGAAGTTTAATAGGCCGAAGTGAATATTAAAAACACATTGGGCTTGTGTTTTATCTGTCATGCAATAATGTCAACAGGTTTGTGTGTGAGGGTTTGGTTTAGATGCAGGCAAGTATCAGTAACAGTGACTGTGAAAAGTTCTCAGTAATAAACTGTGTGTGTGTGTGTGTGTGTGTGTGTGTGTGTGTTGTAGACTAGTCGAATCTCGCTTTCTGTTTTTGCGCTGCCGTCCAGATTCTTGCGACCGACACGCAAACCTCACATGTAACACACTGATCAGGAGTGTGTGTGTTACACGACTGTCTCGCAGATCCACGGGTCAGGGGTCGTTGTATGATCAAGACACACACGCGTTTGTGTGACACAGATAGCGCCAATCACAAACACACACCTTGTGTCATGAGTCTCTCTCTCTCACACACATACGTGTGTTACGTTACATTTAACTTTACCTTTCCCCATTTCTAACTCATTGCTTGAAGTTCAAATACACTTCATTCTACATCCCTTCTGTAATTCAAGCTCCTGCTGTTCATCAGGACACAGTATTTGAAATAAAATGCAAGAATTTTCCTTTGCAGCTGTTTTCAAGTTTGTAAGAGTGATGGTTCTCAACGTTAGAGGATGGTTCTCGACGTTAGAGGATGGTTCTCGACGTTAGAGGATGGTTCTCGACGTTAGAGGATGGTTCTCGACGTTAGAGGATGGTTCTCGACGTTAGAGGATGGTTCTCGACGTTAGAGGATGGTTCTCGACGTTAGAGGATGGTGCTCGACGTTAGAGGATGGTGCTCGACGTTAGAGGATGGTTCTCGATGTTAGAGGATGGTTCTCGATGTTAGAGGATGTTCTCGACGTTAGAGGATGGTTCTTGACGTTAGAGGATGGTTCTCGACGTTAGAGGATGGTTCTCGACGTTAGAGGATGGTTCTCGACGTTAGAGGATGGTTCTCGACGTTAGAGGATGGTTCTCGACGTTAGAGGATGGTTCTCGACGTTAGAGGATGGTTCTCGACGTTAGAGGATGGTTCTCGATGTTAGAGGATGGTTCTCGATGTTAGAGGATGGTTCTCGATGTTAGAGGATGGTTCTGGATGTTAGAGGATGGTGCTCGATGTTAGAGGATGGTTCTCGATGTTAGAGGATGTTCTCGACGTTAGAGGATGGTTCTCGACGTTAGAGGATGGTTCTCGACGTTAGAGGATGGTTCTCGACGTTAGAGGATGGTTCTCGACGTTAGAGGATGGTTCTCGACGTTAGAGGATGGTTCTCGACGTTAGAGGATGGTTCTCGATGTTAGAGGATGGTTCTCGATGTTAGAGGATGGTTCTCGATGTTAGAGGATGGTTCTGGATGTTAGAGGATGGTGCTCGATGTTAGAGGATGGTTCTCGATGTTAGAGGATGTTCTCGACGTTAGAGGATGGTTCTCGACGTTAGAGGATGGTTCTCGACGTTAGAGGATGGTTCTCGACGTTAGAGGATGGTTCTCGACGTTAGAGGATGGTTCTCGACGTTAGAGGATGGTTCTCGACGTTAGAGGATGGTGCTCGACGTTAGAGGATGGTTCTCGATGTTAGAGGATGGTTCTTGATGTTAGAGGATGTTCTCGACGTTAGAGGATGGTTCTTGATGTTAGAGGATGTTCTCGATGTTAGAGGATGGTTCTCGACGTTAGAGGATGGTTCTCGACGTTAGAGGATGGTTCTCGATGTTAGAGGATGGTTCTCGACGTTAGAGGATGGTTCTCGACGTTAGAGGATGGTTCTCGATGTTAGAGGATGGTTCTCGATGTTAGAGGATGGTTCTTGATGTTAGAAGATGGTTCTCGATGTTAGAGGATGGTTCTGGATGTTAGAGGATGGTGCTCGATGTTAGAGGATGGTTCTTGATGTTAGAGGATGGTTCTCGATGTTAGAGGATGGTTCTCGACGTTAGAGGATGGTTCTCGACGTTAGAGGATGGTTCTCGACGTTAGAGGATGGTTCTCGATGTTAGAGGATGGTTCTCGACGTTAGAGGATGGTTCTCGACGTTAGAGGATGGTTCTCGACGTTAGAGGATGGTTCTCGATGTTAGAGGATGGTTCTCGACGTTAGAGGATGGTTCTCGATGTTAGAGGATGGTTCTCGACGTTAGAGGATGGTTCTCGACGTTAGAGGATGGTTCTCGACGTTAGAGGATGGTTCTCGACGTTAGAGGATGGTTCTCGACGTTAGAGGATGGTTCTCGACGTTAGAGGATGGTTCTCGATGTTAGAGGATGGTTCTCGACGTTAGAGGATGGTTCTCGATGTTAGAGGATGGTTCTCGACGTTAGAGGATGGTTCTCGACGTTAGAGGATTGCTGCACAAACAAACGAGGTTTGGTGTCGGACAAGTTTGAACATGATCATGAGACACATGCTGTAACACGTGCTGATTGTGTAGATATGATGATGTGGCTTTAGGTGTGTGTTACAAAAGCTTCGCTCCTCACCGTTACAGGTAGAACCAGTGAGTCGCAGAAAGCCACACATCATCATATTTCCAGGGTGTGCTCAGAATGTGAAGAATGCAGTTCCGTAAAGAAGTAAACAAACTTCAGATCTAACACTGACATTATGATGTGCTTGAATCGGAAACCGGACATCCGATGTTCAGACGCTGTGTGTGTGTGTGTCGTGTCGGTGTGTGTTGATGATCCAGAGGATACGCATGACTGGACATTATTCCTGTGTTTACAGCATAAACAGAAGAAGACACACTCAAAGTAAAAACACTCAATGTTTGCAAATGGTTATATTTGTAATGCACATGATTGGTAGTCGAGGAGTGATTCAGTGTTTGAAGTGTCAGTGATGATGAAGATATGATGATGATGATGATGATGTCATCAGTGTTTATATCTGAGATCTTCATTTGCCTCTGTTGATCAAGCGTCCAGTGGGACAATAAAGGTCAGTTTGTTTTCCTCATTTACAACTCACAATGTTCCACTCAGATCAGTGTGTGTGGGTGTGTGTGGGTGTGTGTTAGTGAGTGTGTGTGTGTGTGTGTGTGTGTGTGTGAGGGAGTGTGTGTAGTATGTGAGAGAGAGAGTTAAAAAAAGTTACACTAATTGAGGTGTCATGTGCATTTGACTTGTTTCATGAGTTCACCTCTACATATATTTATTAGGGTTGGGTTAGAGTTAGGGTTAGGTTAGGGTTAGGGTTGGGTTAGAGTTAGGATTGGGGTTAGGTTAGGGTTAGGGTTGGGTTAGAGTTAGGGTTAGGGTTGGGTTAGAGTTAGGATTGGGGTTAGGTTAGGGTTAGGGTTGGGTTAGAGTTAGGGTTAGGTTAGGGTTAGGGTTGGGTTAGAGTTAGGATTGGGGTTAGGTTAGGGTTAGGGTTGGGTTAGGGTTAGTTAGGGTTTGGGTTTCATGAGTTCACCTCTACATATAATTATTATGTTTGGGGTTACACTCCCGTTGGTGAGAGGAGCAGGAACTAAAGTGAGGAGACGGGATGGAGGAGGGATGCCGATAAACTGTCGAGGATCAAGGTGTGTTCTGCTGTTATCTTGACCTGAGCTGATTACTGATTGATCTCCACTTGTGCTAATTGGGTTAATTATCTGCACCTGCTCCTCCCGATCCTTGTTCAGTCAATGTATCCAAAATATCAGCCAATGATGACCATTGAGAAACTTGGGTCCAGATGTTAGTTTATTGTGGTGTGTGTTTGGGTCATGTTCACAGGCTGGTGGTGTGTGTGTGTGTGTGTGTGTGTGTGTGTGTGTGTGTGTGTGTGTGTGTGTGTGTTTAGTGTAGTGTAGTGTAGTGTAGTGTTTGGGTCATGTTCACTTTGCATTGGGGGCCAAAGTTGGCAAAGTACTGCTCAACCTCATTAACTACAGGAAGTGTGTTTATTTGGAAAAGGCGATATTTCCAGTCCCCTTTACAAATCTAGTGATCCATAACAATGTGCTGATTTGGTTTTAGTATGTTGGATTATTAAAAAAATCTGATTCCAAATGAAATTGACTTGTAATGTGGAATCCAATAAAGTACATACAATGTGTGTGTGTGTGTCGGCAGTGTTCAGTGACCCAGATGCAGAGGTTCTGTCCGCTGGTGGATCTTCATGCTTCACTGGACGCTGAAATGCGGATGAAAGCGATTGATTTTCGTGTGTTTTTCTGCATGACAGAAATAGCTGGAGCTCTTCAGGGTCAGACTGGTTCCCATCACATGATTAAATGCTCGTCCTGCTTCTTTCGGGCAAACCAAACACACACCAGTCCTTCTCATGGCAGTGGCGTTCGCTGTGATCATGTGATGCTCATGGACTGATAATTCAGTCGTTTCTAACCAGTGAACGAGTCGCTGGTGAACGGCAGAGATCGCATGAGAAGAGCAGCGATGGCGTTCAGTGGGTTATCTCATACAGTGTGTGTGTGTGTGTGTGTGTGAATTTATTTTGCTTTGATATGACTACTGAAACCACCGAGATTCCTGACTTGATTTTTAGTTTTTTAACAAGCGTTTTATTTATTTCCAGCTTAAAGGTTTTGGCACATAAGACGAATGAATGATATTGAGAAGAGGATCTGT